TGTGTTCTTCTACTAGCAGATGTGATGTAGCTCTGTCCTAACCCTGGGAGAAAATTCAGACAGGAACGAGCAGAGTGGTTAACAGAGGACCGTTTGCTCATGTGTAGGTCGTACCAAGAGCTTCAAAATGCCAAGATTAACACTTCCCACATCTCACTGGCATTGCCTCCTCTCTGTCCATCTCCTCAGCCCAGTTTAAAAATAAATACAGAAAACGGTGGTGTTCAGGCTGGTTCTCGTTTGCTTGACCTTCATCCGCAGAAGCGTTGCCCTGTGGAGGCAGTGGGTGCAAAGTGTTCTTTCTGAGGCAAAATCTGACTTTGAGAGTGGGATATGAGAAAGGACGTGCTTGGTGAAGAGAAAGAAATGATTTTAAACCAGTGGGATTTGGTCAGCTTCCTAGAGATGAGCTGGATGGTGAAAATGGCAGTGAGGACTTTCTTTCCTTGCCACGTTCCAATCTGTGCTCAAATGGTTGGCGTTTTTGCTGCAGGGCATCAAAAATTTGTAGGCTGAGCACTTCTCCTGCAACAGTAAGGGCTGTATCAGGGTGGCAGAGCGTACTTTATGGTTTGCCACGCTCCCAAACAGAAGCACACTGTGTTCCTTAGAGGAAATATTTCACGTAATATTTCCTGTGTGGACATCCCCAGAGGCTGTAGCAGCAGTAAGTCGGAGGAAGCCTTCTGTACAAGGTTACTCTTATTTGTTGAACAAGTGCAATTGTAAAATGCCATTTCTAAATCTGAAAGAAGTCCTGGAAGCAGGCCATAGAGCCCAGATGATGTCTGGGAAGAGTGGAGGTGGAAAAGAAGGCGAGAAAAGCACTCTGATGCCAACTGACCCATTTCTATCTTTTCAGAAGGCCCTGAGGAGTCCAGGAGGGTGCTGAGGAGAGAGATGCACAGGAGCAGGGCTGTGCTGGCTGAGGCAGCGGCATGGCATTATGCTGTGGCTGCTTGCTGGCCCTTGGGCAGGGGCTGCTGGAGAGGGGTTGTCTCATCCTGATGGCTTCACTTCTCACATTTTGAGTCTGAGCTACAATTCCAGGGTCAGCGTTGGTATAGAGACTTGAAATGGCCTTGTCTGTGCTTAGAGCCTTGCAGTGGTTTGTACTTGAGGATTTCCCTTGCAGAACTTGTTTCAATAGCTGTGGTTTGGCAATGCTGTCCTCAGCCAGTTCTAGAACATCTGGGGAGTTTCTGGAGGGTTCCTGTAGTCCCTCCCCAGGGTGAAGATGAGCCCCTCAGTGAGGATGTTGGTACCCCTGTGGAACTGAGAAAAGGACAAGAATGCTGAGAAAGAGGAATGAGAATAAAAGGGAAGTGTGAGGAGCAGCCCTGTGGCAACCTGTGCCTTAGATTTCTGCTCAGAACATCATTTTCACTCTGTCTACTCTGGCTTGCAAAAACACACTGGTGTAAGGAGAGAGCAAAGTGGGAGGGCAGGACCCGATGACTTAGAATAGAAGCACCATTTGAAAGATATTGGAATGTCACAGGCTGAATATAGAAGGAAAGGATCAAGAAAGGGAGCCCTTCAGCTCTTCTGGGGTGCTTGGATGGGGCGGATGTGATAGCTCAGGGATGCTTGCAGCGATTTTTGTTGCTGATATGCTGGCGGGGAGGTTTACTGAGCAGTCACAGTTGTTCTTTTTTTTTGGTGTTGTGACAGTGGGGAGAGAGAAATAGCAACTAGGAAGGTGAGCTGCTTCACCAGTGGCTTGAGGTAGCTTCTGCAGAGGAGGCCCCTTGTTAGTGGTGGTGAAGCTGGTGCTTGCAAATGTACCTTGTTAATTTCTCATCGTGTGAATTTGTTACACAGACAAGGCTCTATTTCACAGAAGCTCTGCAGATGATGGTTAATGGCACTCCAGGTAATGACTTAGCAGCATGTTTTGCTCATGTTTTAGATAGATGCACCTTTTAATATTTTGCTTTTTTTTTAATAACTCTTCTCTGACTGCAGTCACCCTTGGAGGCTTAGTACTCTGTCCTTTCGTTTGCTAATTGTACAACATGCAGAAGGTGAGCTCTGCCAGATTGCTCCCTCTTTTCCTGCTGGAGCGTACTTGCTGGCCCCTAAAAGGTTGATTTTTCCAGTTTCAGCTTTGTTTAACTTTGTTGCTGGTGTAGATTTGAACTAACTAGTCAGACCTCTAGAGATGCTGGTGTTTTGCTTTCAGATTGTCTGATGTAGGCCCTGATAAGGCAGGAGAGAAAGTGCTGTTGTAGACAAAGGGCTGTTGGTGGGTTTTTATTTTGGTGGTTATTGTTGTTTTTAACTCTTGCTCTTTTGATCATTCTGGGAGTGAAGCTGCCATGTAACCCTGAGCCTCCTACCAACACTAAGAGAGGAGAGGAAGAATTGAATGGATGCAAGAAATGAATTCCTGCTCGTGCTGTGTTTGGGCATGCAGTGTCATGAAGTTACTTAGAGCTCCTCATTTCAGTATTGCCTTTCAGACCCAGAGTGCCACTTGCTTTGGAAGTCTCAGCTGAAACCTCACTGTGGTTATTCCACGCTTTGAAGCAGTGAGCTGTTGATGGTCTGCAGATGGTGAGATCAAGTCAGCCAAGCTTGAAACAAGTTACTCTCCACTACCCTGTGCTTACTTTGATCCAAAACTTCAACCTTCTGTCACAGTGTCTGTTGAATTGCAGACATAGGATAAAAGGTTCTGACATTTTTCTCCAGCCCTGTTTGAAAACGGTAGCTGCCCTTCAACAATAAAAATGATCGCTTATTCCTTAAGCACGCCCAGATCTGGGATGACGGGAGATGATGTTTAGGTCTCTGCTGAGTTTGTGTTCATTTGTTCCTCTTGCTCTAACCAGTGGAGACTGTTTCCCTAGTTAGGAGACTTCTGAGAGCAGCATCATAAGGCACAATTCAGATCTGCTGCAGTGACAGATAGGAGTAGTTCAACCAGTATCTCCTTGTCTAAAATGTAGTGCTGGTTACTGCTGTGTGGCTGGTGAGAGAAATGGTCCGAGACATTAAGTCCAGGGATGCCTCAGCCCTTCCATTACTCAGCTGACATGCCCTGCTTTTCAACCCATTTTGCCTTTTTCCGTTCTTGCCTGTATTGTGTGAAGGCAGGCAGACTGGAGCTTATGCCTGTCAAATGCTCATGGCCTTAAGGTAAATTCGTTGCAGATGCAAGCTGGTAATATCTTTCAGATGTATAGCTATTTTGTGGTGAGATAAAACTGGATTTGGTGTGTTTGAGGATTTTCTGAGAGCAGCTAGTAAAATGCATGGGCTGCTGTGCAAATGTGGTAGGAAGGCAGGCTCCTAGTGAGCAGTATTTCAGAAATAATGGTTGCTTCTATGCAGAAGGGAGAAGGAAAGCAATGAGAAGCAGCTCTCCACATGATCAGGGGAAATAAATATGAAAATGGGCCTTTGGGAAAGTGTTCACACAGACCATTCCATGTCCCACTTACTGTTTATATTTGGTGTGATATTTTTTTTTGGTAGAAGAAAAGCAATTGAATTTAAGGATTCAAATAGGAAAAGGTCTGTTGGTTGTGGGGCTTTTTGTTTAAATTTCCAGATGCTTCCCCTTCTCAGGTACCACTTGATTCTGAGTTCAAGCTCAAAACTGGCTTTACAGTGTAATAGTGATACCAAGTGATGTCAAGTACCTTGACTTGCCTGAAATGCACGCCTGCATGGGTGGATAGTTCGCTTATTCATGTTTAAAACATCATTATTTCATATTGGGTAGATTCCTGGTTGCTTTGTAGTTGCATAGAAGTGTTTATCAGTTCAGAAGACCTGTTTTCAAGTGCCAGAAGGCAAATTTATGTTCTGATTCCCAATGTACAGGTGTTTTACACATGTTACATTTTCCAAACGTTTTTCAAAACAGGCAGTTTCCCACTTGTGTGCAGTTGCAGCTGTTTAAAGCTGAACTCTCCTTTGCTGTTAACTCAATTGTGGGAAGCTGAAAATGCAGTTGCAGCAGCAAGCAAAATTGAAAATGACTTTCAATGAAAAGTGATTTTTGTTGTCAGGACTGAATGGAGCATAAATACAGTGCGGAATAGAGCAAGTTTCCAGAGCTGTCAGAGCACTGACCTTCTGGGCACAGGCCCTGACTGTAAGACTGACGTAGCTGTGGGACTATCCTGGATTTGTGGAGCAAGCTTCAGAAGAAAAGATAGTTGAAATGAGTTATTGAAAGTATCTTCAGAAATAATCAACAACGGGTTTTGTTTGCAGGCTTCCATTAGAAATCTTGAAACAAACCCTATCTGTGGGCTGCATTCATGGAAATGCAGACTTGGCAGCTGAATTTTTGGTGATCATTGACTGTGTACCACTGTGGGCAGATAGAGCTCAGTAGCAGCTCTCATTCTTTTCTATAACGCAGCTCCTGCTTGCCAGAATTTTACTGGGTGGATGTGCTGGTTCATGTGTAACTAATCTAAAATAACATCTTAGCAGACAGATCTTAAATAGGCTTTACATTGGTCTGATTGCCTGTTTTTATGAACAAATTAGTCCCTTACCAAGACTGAAGAATGTAAGAGCCGTTCGTGCACTTTCTTTTTCCATTAGACTTACTCCTTTTATAGCTCAGTATCAGGGTTTTTGTTTCTGCCTCAGACAATTTGTTCTACGCCCAGGTGTGTTTACTACTTGTATCTTAGTTTGGTTTCCCCCTCTGTAAGGAGGAGGGAAAATATGTAGTTCAGCAGAGAAAACAACCGAGGAGAATGAACCTCTTAATCAAGCGCTCCCTAATTCTTCACCACTTTACACTCAGAGTGTTGAGAGTGATGCGCGTAGAGGTGAGCCTGGCCGAGAGGAGAGCCGTGCTGGGAGGCAGATGGCAGAGCTGGGGCCGTTCCCGCAGGTGCTCCGGGCCGGTGGTGGCTAGGAGGAAATGCCCAGCGCAGGCGTTAGGGTTGGGGGGGCGGCTGCGGGCTGTGATTCTGTCAGGCAGCGCGACTCAACATTTGTCCTTTTGCTGTGCTTGTGTTTTCTAGGTGCATCAGAGGCTTTCTCCTTGGCAGAGTGTGAGAGTGGTCTATTGCAGTACGGTAGTGCCCTCTGATGGTGAGTGACGCAGAGAAACTCTGGGCTCGCTTTTGGCTGAAGTCGTGTTGCTGACCCCCTTTCCGGTTGAGTCTTTGCTGACTAGGAGGTAATCCCATTTTTGAACGGAGAAAGTGAAAGAACAAAGTCAGACAAGAAGAATCAAGGAAACGGTCAACTTCTCTAGTAACTGCCCTTATAGAACTGGGCAGGCTTTACAGTGAAGGATCTTATATTGCATTTAATTGTCCAAAGCTTTCGTCAGGCATCTTCCTGATTTGTGGCCTTGAGGTCCTTGTTTCAAGATACTGTGTGCCTTTGTAACTTGTGTCTAATGAAAATGCACTTCATCCCAGGCACTCGAGTGGTTGAAAGCGCTCTGTCTGCTGCGGTGAATTGTGAAGCCACGGCAGTTTTGTTCCTTTATTCAAATTCTGGGACAGCTCTAGCATTAAGCTTTTTCTGATATGGTTGTCATAACATAAAGCAAAGGAATGTACTGCTGAGGTAGGTGGAACTTTAAAAAAAAAAACTCAGTATGTGAAATGCAGTGAGGAAACAAACAGCTTTGAGATAACTGCCTGCTTAACATTTGCTTGCTGCGAACAGAGACTGGAGTGCTTATGCTGACAGACACAAGCAGTTAGTGGATCTTCTTACCATTAAAGCTTGTTAATAAAGCCTGAAAGCTAACAAAGTAAAGGGCTCTGCTGCAATTGCTTCCCCTGCTGGGATAGTGACTGTGTGCAAAAACAAAGGGAACAGGACTGCTGTGGAGCACTGATAGTAATTGAACTGGAAGGCTTAAACAGGTGGAAGAGTAGGGGGCAAATACAAGGTTGAGAGAATAATCTGTGTATAGCTACTTGCTTGATTTGGTGAATCTCTTGTTATATTATGCTTGAATATTTTCCTTGTTACTTTTCCCAATAACTTTGTGTTTACCAGCAGCATGTGCTCAATACAGACTTTTCTTTTCTCCATACCTTTTTTTTTTTTTTTTTTTCTTATAGCTTGCTTTATAAAGTGCTCAAGAGCCCTTTTGCTGGAGCACATACACTTCAAAACTGTGGTGCATGGATGGAATTCATACCTCAAAGCAAGCTCATGTTAAATATAGCATGTAAAGCTTTCAAAATTATCCTTAGTCATTTTTGGCAGTGCTCCTGGCCAGGTTGTAGGTAGTCTGTAAACTTAAGTGCTTGTATACAATTACTTGTACACGCATTTAAATAGTGGCCTGAAACTTGATCGGTAATGATTAGCCCAGGTATTACCTCTAAACTGCAAGTAAGTGAATGAAGCATTTTGACACCTCACTAATTATAATTCTATAAATATGATGGAAATATAATATTAAATACATGTTTGTAGAAGAAGTTTTGGCCCCTTCATGGTCGTTTTCCTCTTGCGGACCATTGATAGCACTGTCAGAGCAGAAGGAAGCAAAGCAGACAGCCATATTGACAGTTAATAACCTTTAATGGAGCTCTGTTATTCCTTGTTAGGTTTGTGTTATTGACAAGTCCTTCAGGTGTTCTATTTACTGTTTGTTGGTTGTTTTTTTTTTAACTTCCTTCTGAGCTCTTTCCTCTTCAGTGTGGTAAAAACTGGACCAGACCTCTTGTGTGGGGGATGATGAGAGGATCAAACTGCAATTGTAGACTTTAGTACCAGTGAATTAAGCTAGATAAAGACTTCTACAAGATTCTTGTAAGGAAAACATAAGACAGCTGTAATTCTGGGCTTGCTGGAAGGAAACAATTAGTGCTACAATGCTTCCCTTAAGCTGTTGAAGCTAAGAGATTTTGTGCATGCTACTGCTGATGGTAACTGTTGGTACACTCTGACCTACTGCATCTGTCACTGTGGTCTCCATCTCCATCTGGGTTGTGAAGAGTTAAAATGTCACCAGACTGGGGCTGTGTGTGCTTTCTTCAAAACTGGCATTTACAGAACTGGGCTGCTGGCTTGCACCAACAGGATGAACAGAAAAGAGTTGGTGTAAATGCTCCTCTATTCTCCAGTAAACTTGCTCACTGCCTGTGTGATCAAGGTAGCATTTTAAGTTGTTTCTTGTGTCAAGTGAGTTCTCTGCAGCAGTCATGTAGTTATATAAGCAGTCCATAAGTTAATATTGTATGTGCTGCTCACAGAATCAATGAAGTCAGTGCCTAAGTAGCTGTTATAAGCTTATAAACGTGTTGATCCTACCTTTTGTAGAGAAATCAGAAGGGTAAGTTGATGCTGGTTTATTTCTTACCAGCCTCTTTCTCAAATACTTGAGTCAAAGACAGTGAAATCTGATGGCTGGTGTCACAACAGCTGCTGATATGGAGCTTGAAATTCTGTCTAACTGTCCAAATAAACTGGCAGTGCTTTATTTTTTCAGTAAATATCTTCTGAATTTTAAGAATTGAAACAGTGATGCTACTGAAATCCTGTCAGGTGTGTCAGAGTCTTGTGAATAAGTTTTTGTCCCTTTCTGAGTTGTCAGACCTCTTGAGATGCTTTAGTCATTTTAGATATCCGTATCTGGTCACTTCTACCTAGTCTTAACGATGGCATGAGGACATGTCTGTCAGCACTAGATAGCAATCTCCTGGAAGAGTGAAGAAAGCCTTTGTATGCTTCATTCAAATTTTGAAGGTGTGTGATGGTAAGCTAAAAACCTGAGTGAGTCCCTCTTATAGTGCAATAATGTGATACGTTGTGTAGCTTTTTTCAACATCTGAGAGTCTCCTTTTTCAGAAAAAAACAAACAAACAAACAAAAAACAACCACATGCTGCCCCCAAGATGTGTCCCAGTATGCAAATAATCCTGTTACAAACGAGTTCATCATCTAATGGCAGGTAACTCTAAGGGGGAGGTATGAAAGCTCTCTTTGCAGAGCTTTCTAAATAGCAGAATGCTGAGAATCGCTTCCTTTGTTGGTTGAATTTACTTCTCTTCCGCTTCCTCTGAGTTTTTTTGGCCAACTGGTTTTCATATTAGTTGCTTGACTAGTAGTCAGCACAGGCATTAGGTGAGTTAAGGTATGCAGGCTACTCTGAAAGTAGCGCCTCATTATTCTGCGGAAACTGCAACAGATACAAAGAGCACAACAACATTTAGATGCAGCAAATTCTCAGCTACAAAACACTTTTTCAACATAGTCACTGCCATCACCTACACGTTTTCATCAGTGCTGAACGAGAGCTTCCGTGCTGAGCTCATCACCATCTGCGCCAGTGGAAGTGACCCACAGTTGCCTCAGCTGAAACACAGCACCCAGCGCCTCGCTGTGCTCACGTCTGCTGTTTGGTCTCCATGAGTGTTCAGCAAACATCAATGAATGTCAGTGGGTACCATTATTTCTGCATGGAAGAATTCAGTTCCACGCCTTGGCTTCACACATCCTTCCATATTAGACTCCATTTGGTCAGACAGACCCTGTGCTGCCATCTGTTGCACAGCAACAAAATGGAGCGGGATACTGGTGGGAAGGTTCAGTCTTTTACTGTCGTATCACCGCTGTGTGTCTGATGTCAAGGGCCAACAGAATAAAATGGGAGGCATTAGTTTAGGAGCAGCCCTTATCGATGGTGTGGTTTGTGCTGCTGGCCAAAACTACAACAGGTGGAAACATCAGGTGCAGTGTGAGTGGTGGTGACTGCATAATCGTGGAGGCACAGTTTGCAACAAAAATGACAGCACATTTTTACATAAAAAAATATGCAACAATTTCAAGTGAATCGTTTTTAGGTGTGCTCATTATAACTTAACAGTTGCTACATTTGAGGAGATTTTTGACTGTTCATGACTCAATAAAGGGCTTAGGGAAGTGAACTTCCAACTTTTCAATGTATGGATATCCTGAAGTGCCTGGAGAGGGTTGTCTTTCTGGCAGTAAGATAATAACTAGCTTACAGTTCATATAGATCACCACAATAAATTATAGGAAGGTGCACTGAAATCCTTGAGAACACTTTTGAAAAAGCTCCTGACAACACTAAGGAAATGGAAAAGATTGTTTTATCTACACTGAAGAAATAATGTCTGTCTTCTGAAGTACAAAGTGTATTGATCCCATGAATTTTAAATGAAGTGACCTTGAAACTTAAACTCAGAGTGCTGTTCCTACAACCTCATACTCCTGACAACTCTCTTAAATATTTGTTGCTTGAAGACAAAGAGCAGGAAACTAGAACTTAACAAGAATAAAAGTAAGCTTTCCTTGATATTTCCTAATGTATACCACCTGCCTTTGTCTTTCGGGCCATAAATCCCTCCAAATAGTGCATGGATTGGTCTTGCACAGTCTTGAGATACATTGGTTCTCAAAATCTAACCAATACGTGCCATGCTGCCTTTGCTATGAAGGTGATTGTGCTTAGACTAAATAAATACCTTCTTTTACTTTTCCATGAATCTCTGAGAGTGTAACACATGCTGCCAAGTGAAATGGAGTGAAAAACTCTAACGTCACTTAGGGTATTTTTTGTTTCTGAAGGACATTGGCAGATAGTGAGCTGAAAATTTCCTTTGCTTTCTGCTCAGCTCATAACCTTATCCTTGTCTCCATAGGACAAACTACTGTGAGAAGATCTGCTTATTTTTTAGGATAACTTTATTTTCGTCTTTTTTTTTTTTTTATAGAGGTGACGGTGGTTTACCAAAATGGCTTACCTGTGATTTCTGTGAATCTTCCATCTCGGCGCGAACGTTGCCAGTTCACGCTTAAACCTATCTCAGACTCTGTTGGTGTGTTCTTACAACAGCTGCAAGCAGAGGACCGAGGAATTGATCGGGTTGCGATCTACTCAGCAGGTACTCTTGTTTACAAAGTAATTGATTTACTTGTCAGGCATTTTCATCCAGCCTTTCCCTTCTTAAGTAAAAGCTTGATATGGTGTGGGTTCTCAAACGTTCCCAAGAAAGTGGAAACGTCGTTTCTGGAGTAGGAATGTTCCACTAACTGACTCTGGTGTCAGGTCTGTCAAGAAAATCTAATTGTAGTGTGAAAGAGGAGCAAAAATGTTTCTTAACGCTTAGCTTCAGCCTTGAAGATTCTCTTACAGTAAAGACATTGTCTTTGTTGCATCTCTATTTGCAGTTTGAATGACTTAAAAACACACAGTGAACTTAGTGGTAGCCTGTGCTGCAAATTTACATGACCATACTGGGGCATTTCTGTTTGAGGCAGTTGATAACACAAAGTTTATATGCAGAATTCACGTTGCTATGTAACAAGGAAGTGAAAAAATTATAAGCCTGTGTTCACACTACTTACAGCATGTAAGCAGCTGCTCTATAGGTGGTTTTGTCTGAAAACCTAAATTTTGCCAAGGTCCCGTTTTTATCTCTACTAGAACTGATGTCCATATTTCAGGTGAGCTTCCAAGTGTTTCTCTGAAGGTGCAGGTTGCCTGTATGGAGTTGCTAATGAATTTGTAGAGAACTAGGTGTGAATTGTGGTACAAGGGAATGAATTTCTTATTTATCTATGAATGCTGCTATGTTTCACTTAACGGCTTATTTCAGTGTTTTGCTCAATTACTATGCATCTGTTAGCCATCAAAGCTCTGGGACATTATTAGGATGTCTTATGGGAGTCTATCTAAGTGGCTGAAAGTCCTGGCCTGCGAGAGGTGTTTATTAAGTTAATGAAGTCAAAACTGCCCAATACTGGAGGTGGAAATAATCATCTGTAATGTCTGTGGGAAGGAGTGAAGGTCCCCTAAATGGATTGTATTGCTTAAGTTTGGTAAAACATTCAAGCTGCAGAGATTAAAGAAATTTCCTTTTATGGGAAAATATTACCAATTTAGAAAGCAGCTTCATCATAGCTCATCTTGGGTTTGCCCTGCAAATTCTCTTTGCCTGGCTCCAAAAAGTGTTGTCTGCAGGAAAATGTTGAAGTCCAACAGTCAAATATGATGAGATAATGTTACAACAGTCAAATATGAAATAATGTTGCAACTTGTTTAGGTCATTGTAGTAATGTCTGTTTGCCTTACAGATGGCACCCGTGTTGCTTCCTCCACGGGCATAGATTTGCTTCTACTGGATGACTTCAAACTGATCATCAATGACATCACATATCATGTTAGACCACCAAAGAGAGGTAAATCAGCCTGGTTCTTAGATAGTAAAAACAGCTTAATGTGCATATTTGAGAATGTGGAGTATTTTTGAAGGAAACCTTGTAGTTTGTGATCCTACCTATGCAGTCTAATTTAGCTGTATCCGAGTAGTCGTAAGGGAATGATGAAAAGCAAATGTTCATTCCATTCAAGGCGGTTATTCCCTATAAGATGAATGAAGAAATGAAGGGAAAAGTAATCTAATAGTTAACTTTCTATGAGGTAGTTGAATACAAAATGAGAATTAGCCTAAAACTAATGTTAGCTGACTTAAGAATCATTCTCTTGTTTGACAGTGAAGATTGGTACTTCAAATGTTGGAAATGAAAAATCAATTGTAGTGCGTTATTGTTCACAGTGTAGAAATACTATCAAAAATTTGTAATTTTTTGCTGATGATTCAGGGATCTGTACACTTAGCATGCAGGAACACCAATTTTGGGAGGGCAGCATTGGATGCGGTGCCAGTTCTTTACTACATTAGGCTGACCTCTGCTAGAGGTGGTTTTTCTCCAGTCTCCTTAAAACCACTGTAAGAGAACTTTTCATAAAGACTTGGGTATTTAACTCGCTTGTGGAACCACCCAAAGACTGTTGCTCTCTTCTCTCTCCCCCCCTGTGCACTGTATCCTGGATGTTGTGTTTTCGCATACTTAAGACGTTATAAGCCAGAGAAGTGGGGTGAGGATTTGAACAAGACATCTTTTCCAACTGTTGTCCCAGGGCAAGCCAATTTGTATGTCCCACACAGCTACTGCTGGAGAGCCAAGTCTGTGTCAAGGAGCTGATATCATCTTGGTTAACTCGTTTTTAGGATATACACACTGTGCTGGCAGGTGAGCTCAGGGATCACCTAGGTTACATGAAATTGCTGCCTCTGATTCATTTGCCTAGGAGATTTCTATAGTTAGCTTGTATTAAAATTTGTGCCTGTAAATAGGCTCTGAGATTAGTTCTGTTCAACTTCGTAGATATTGCTTTTCCATTTTAACACAATCACCCTGTTTATACTGGAATGTAAATGCCAGGACAGAGTACCTTTAAATACTAAGGACCTCTTCATGATGACTTCATAAGCTCACAAAGGTTTTTTTTCTTCACAGTGGTATAGAAGATGCTTAGATGGGAATGGGTGGTGTTTGCCTATGCCTACCACTTGTCTTGGCACACACTGCTGAGTCATTTCTTTCTCTGGGTATGCTAGTGTTAAAGCTCAAGCTATTAGGAGTCGAAACTCTTCTGTTTGTTGTTCAGGTATAGCCCGACTTTACCCTTCCCAGAATGTAAGTTGCTGCAAATTTTCTGTTAGTGTTGATAAAATGGTACTTAAGACAACCTAAGGTTCAAGCCAAGGGATGCTACAATTTTTTAGTATTTTGATTTTAATTGACTAATGTTGAGATTTTTTGCTTCAAACTTAGTTTCTCCATATGGAGTATGTAATTCAGTACCGCTAGTCACAACTTCTTTGTAAGCTGATTTCTTTTAGGAATCCTTTTTGTATTGAAGTATAGGATTACAGAGTGTTCCAGTTAGCAGCCATGTTGTTGTCTTAAATGTAGTGAGAGAGGCTTTCATTACCCCTTAGGCAGCTCAAAATAGTGGGTTTGTCCACTGTGTGTTGGGAAACAACTCCAGGCATCATTACTTGAAGTAACTATAAGACTGCGTGTTCTGAGGCTGCTAACCTAAGATCAACAGCTGCCACTGTCAGTGAGTACAATTTGCAGTTTGAATTCTGGCTGTTTCTTGACAGCTGGTGCAGGGGATCGTACTAGTGGTTCATTTGCCTTTGAGTCTTGCATACAGGTATGGATGTAAAGCAGCTGTTCATCTCTAGCAAACTATTAGCATACATCTTCTTTGTGTTCTTCTCACACTTCAGGAATACCCAATAATAAAGCCTAATTTACTTTTGAAGATGTCGCATTGTCTTAGTGTGCTGGAGTTCTTCCAAAAGCTTTTGTATTGAAAAGGTTGTTCCAAATGCTTCCTCCGCAGAAGAATAGCAGTTTCTGAAGGGTGAGTAAGGAGTCCTGTGGATAAATGCACACAAAGCAGTCTTTTTCTTTCCTAGAGCTCTTAAGCCATGAGAACGCAACCACGCTGAATGATGTCAAGACATTGGTTCAGCAGTTGTACACTGCCTTGTGCATCGAGGAGCACCAGCTGAACAAAGAGAAGGAGCTCATAGGGAGGCTAGAGGAATTGAAGGAGCAACTAGCACCACTAGAAAAAGTGAGAAACTTCTCATGGTGTTTTACTTATCCTCCAAATGCATGCTCAATTTATTTGTTTTCATTAAGCTCTAACATGCTTCAAATAGTTTTAAAATGGCTGAAGGAAAAATTGCCACTTCATATAACAAACCACATTTGTTTCTGATGTCTGCAGAAATATGGTTTCCTTCCTCTGTAATAAGAAATGAACCTGTTATTGCAGACTGGGACTCTCGTTCAACAGAACACTTGTGAACACAGAGGTGGAAGAACCTTTGCAAAGCATCCAAAATATACTCAGAGTAAAATAAGGGTGATTGCGAGATACTGATAGAAAAGAAGTCTAAAGTTGTCTATGTAACCTAAACTCAGTCATGTCACAATGTAGCATTAAATACAGATGTGTTATTTTTAAGTTTTCTCTTAATGATATCAACTCTTTTTTTTTTTTTTAATCTGTTTTTGGCAGGTAAGGCTGGAGCTCAGCAGGAAAGCAGAGAAGAGGACAACCTTGGTGTTGTGGGGAGGGCTGGCCTACATGGCCACTCAGTTTGGGATTCTGGCCCGCCTCACCTGGTGGGAATACTCTTGGGACATTATGGAACCAGTCACCTATTTCATCACCTATGGTAGTGCCATGGCAATGTATGCTTATTTCGTAATGACTCGCCAGGTAGGACTCGTAGTGCTGACGTCGATGCTTCAATAGAAGACTGTATTTGAACTCTACTGCCCAGGAAAATAGCAAAATCATGCTTTCTGGAAGTTATTTTGCCTCTTCCTAGCCCTATTGGAGCTTATGATGGGGCCTTTTCTGGTGCTGGTCCTCACTCATTTCCTGGTTGTGTTACCGTAAGCGTTCATGTGCATCCTCTGAGTGCTTCAGCTGTTCAGTTCATTCATTGACAGACAGCGGTTTCTGCATGCATGCACACATGCTGACTTGCACCAGGGCCTGTAAATGGTGACTTACCAGCCCAAATAATCTGAGATACCAAATGAATTTCAGGGAAGTACACATCTCCAATATGAGTAAACTATTTCTGAAGAGACAAGAAAGGCTCAAAAATCATTTTAGGCATACCTTTTATTCACGTGTCTCATGGATCTCACCTCCTAACCAAATGAAGCAGCTACATTTGAATGCATGCTTCTTGGTGCAATTCCAGATTCAGTGACTAGCAGGCTCAGTCTCTTCAAAAACTAGGTCTGCTCCAATATTGCAAAACCTTTGCACAAAGCAGATCTATGCTTTTCTGGGTTCCTGTAGTTGTGACAGACTATCTGTCTATCTATCCACTACCTGTGGAGATTTCTGTTATGTGATTTGTCTCACCATTCCCACTGAAATGAAATAATCCTAGGGAGTAAGGGCTCAGTCTCTGCTGTTGCAAGACCACTAGAATAAATACTGTGTGTATCCAGCACAGTGTCCCAGGGCTCTGCTGTCGCTTGAGGGGCTGAACACATTTGCCTTTGACACAATATTTTTTTCAGGTACAGTTGTAATTTAACATACTGAGTTCAAATATGGCAGAAAACGTTGTCATCAGCTAGTACTTATTTGCCAGACTTGAAATCTCATTGTTTCAGAAGTCTGAAAACAGCTTTTTTCTACCTGGCAGCCTGATCGTTGCATGCATATCAGATGGAAGCTGTGTGATAAGCCAGTGCAAGGGAAAGTTAATTTCAGCAGGCAGACTTGTGTTGAGGCTATGTGGGATTTGGTGTTAACAGCTCTGCTGCTTACGGTTATCTGTGCTCCAAAAAGTTGTGACCTCTTGCAATAGAGTATCCCTAGAAAAGCTGTGGTATTGGATTCCTGTTCTTGTCTTTTGCCCTTCTGATTCTTTCAGTGATTCTGCTGAAGAGAGGTGGACAAGTGACTGCGTGGGAGCCTAGCTACTAGCTAGGGTCACCTCACCTCACTGGCAGAGAGCTTAGTCAATGCAGTCTGGTTTTATGCCTTAACTTCCAAAACACATCTGTTATGTACTGTACTAATAGTATCCCATGTTGTGATGCATTATTCTTACCTTCTGTATTTTTTTTTTTTTTTTTTTTTTAGGAGTATGTTTATCCAGATGCAAGAGACAGACAGTACTTACTATTTTTCCATAAAGGAGCCAAAAAGTCACGATTTGATCTAGAGAAATACAATCAACTCAAGGATGCAATTGCTCAGGTAATAAAGAGTTTTTTTCTGTAGATAAGGCAAATTACTGCTTGTGAGTTCATCTGTTATTAATAGATGCACCTCAGATGAGAATGGTTCTTAGGTTTTCAGCTTATTTTCTTGTCACAGCTCCAGTGCAATCACTGAATTAGCTTTGATGTGCCCAGGAATAGAACAGCTAGAAGTGTAAATCAACATGAAACAGTTCCCTGTATCTGTCTGTAATGGCCTTTTTAGAGACTGCTAGCAAACTTTGAGTTGCTTCAGGCACTTCATGCCTCAAAGGAGCCTAGTTCCAAATGTTGCTTTCTTCTCAGTTCCTACATACCAGATGGATTTAGTGAGGGCTGAAAACTTGCATCCGTTCAGTTTATTTCTCCCTCACAGCAATTCATTGCACTGAATTGAAGACCTGGAAAATACTGCTCAAGAAAGTCTCATTGCTAGAAGTGATGGCAAATTTCTTTTAGGGGAAGATACTTGCAGTAAGACTATTCCCAGTGTGGGATCTGATAAACAGAAGAGTTGAGCAGCAGAGATATTTCTCCTCATTTTTGTGAGACTTTCTATTAATAGAAGGCATGAGCAGGAAAAGCAGAACTACCACTTTCTCTCTCCACTTTCTCATTCTTCTGTATCATTGTTTATTCTCAAGCTCTGGAAATGACAATGTAGGACATATCCAAGGCAAGATGCGTTATCCCTCTTTTTTTGGAGCAGGAGAGCAGAGAGCTCTTTTGTGAAGAGCAGAGAAAGATCAGAACAAGACTGTGTGAAAGACTGAAGGTTTTCTTGTGCTATTCATTACTGACAGTCTTAGCCATTCCCATTAATCTAGCTCTTTTTAAAACAAAAACGAAAGTTCAAGGGGATCAGTTCTTTCCTACCATATTCCTTCTGAAGTGGTTGCATGTTAGCAAGTTGATAGAAGTGCAATGCAAGGGTCTTGAACTGATAGAAATGGTTTTCCCAGATCTGAGCCTGTGACTTTTTCTTCCCTTCCAGGCAAGAAAAATGAGAAAATACATAAATTATTTCCAATTTAGGAAGGGGCTTTGGGTTGGGGAAAGGTGTATTGGTAGCCTCTTCTTTATAATGTTTATTTTGCTTTTAGGCAGAATTGGACCTTAAGAGGCTTCGAGATCCACTGCAGGTTCACCTGCCCATCCAGCAAATTGATGAAAAGGACTGATCAGCAAAGAAGCTCTGAACTCTGGCAAAAAACCTGTTCATAGCTCTTGCCTTTTAAATTAAAGCATTGCAGGTGGAAGCTGGGAGGTGGTGTGTGGGTGGAGGGGTTTTGGTTGGCTTTTTTTTTTTAACCTTTAATCAAGATAAAGGACTGTAAGGGGAAATCTCTTAAATTTGAAGATGGGGCATTGTGGAATGTTAGTTCCGAAAAGGGCTTGGCAAATAGTCATATTTAAAACCGTGTGAACGGCAATTGTGTACAAATACAGGATTGGGGGGGTTCATGAAAAGAATGTAATGCTGGGGCAGGGATGTCTTCTTCCAGCTCTGCAGAGTCTGCCTCCTGATAAGACACCAGCAGCCTGCTTAGCTTTTTAAAGTTTCCTTTACCTGACTCAGTTCTCTCTTTCTCTCTTAACAAAACAAAAAAGGGAAAAAAAAAAAGAACAAAGAATCCACGCCACCTGGAGCTATGGCTGGTGATCAGATCTTGCGCTCCACCGCCATTAACACGCACACTTCTGATCAGACCTGGTCTCTTTTATAAAGTTACTACAAGACTGCTTTCTACTGGAAAACCGTGAGCTTTCCCTCCCCAGCCCTGTCCCATGTGCTCCATTTTCCTCCTTTGCTTATTTGTAGCACAGACTGATTGTGAGCCAAGTGAGAGAAGGAACAAGTTCTCTTTTGGACATTTGATAATTGGTATTTTGGAGTATTCCATAATAACTGTATAAACTTGTGTCCCAATGCCCTTGAGTTCCTTCTAGAAATAAATGGCAGCATTGCATGAGAGTTATAATATTCAGTCTCATGGGAGGGAGATTCCCCTCTTACACCAAATCTGATAGCCACCTGGACTACGGAATTATGAAGGCTTAGGGGATTAAGAAACTGTCTCAGAATCATGACTCCTGTTTAGCTGAACAGTTTTGGAATGTGATATAATTAAACTTGATATTTGATTGTATAATGGAATGAAAGGTCTCATGGTCAAAGCATTTTCCTCACCCAAAGGCTTCTTGAAAGCCCGGGGCTCTTACAGTGCATAACCGCTTCAGTTCTCCTGCACTTCCCCTACTTAAGTAGCTTTAAATGACCTTTGCACCCACAGGTCATGATTTCATAGGGTTGGCTAATGACATCTCTTGTTCTTAGCTAAAAGAAATGGAGGAAGGAAAATCAACCCATTGCCCTGTCTTCTAGCCAAGCAGATAGAACTCATCTTTATTCAAAGCTGGTCAGTCTCTTTAGCATCCTACTGATAAATACTGTGGAGGCAAGATGAAGGTGGGAGAAGGGCACTAAGCTTTATATGCAGAAAAGTTTGCTGCTTTTTGAAATTTCACTACTGTTCCTCACTGTGTCATGGAAAGAAGCTTCTGGTTTTGGTTTTTTTTTTTTTTTTTTTTTTTTTTGAGAACTGTGTTTAAAAAAAAAAAAGAACAGCAGCAAAAGTCAAACAGAAATCATGTTAAGCAGATGCCAGGTGCCTTGCAGATATGGAAATACAGCTGGGATTGCTGCCTATTCTCACTCAATGGCATGTTGGACCGAATGGGTGCATGTTTCTAGTTTTTTTTTCCTCCCTTCCCCCTTTCCTCTGTCTTTCAGTTTAATTACATTGTGAGATTATTTTTTATCTGTTATATCTTGTTTGTGTGATGAGTTTTAAAGGGGAAAAAAAAATGAACACAATCCTGTAGCTGAATCCATGGTGTGTGTTTGGGATGAGGGGGAGGGAGCATGGAGAAAAGTCCTTCTTTAAGAAAACACAAAAAACACACACAAAAAAAACCTGAAAATGTGTAAAATCCTGTATCATTTATGAAATATGTATAAAAGAGCAATGTACTTCTGGAACAATAAATAACTATTCAATTTTTGAATCGGTGCTCTTGAATAACATCACTTTCCCCAGATACATATTGTATGTTGGCAGCCATCTCCTGAGTTTCCTCCATTTCTTTTTGTTTAGGTGGTTTCTTCCTGACCTTAACATCACTGAGGCCACGTGGTGCAGATAATAACTTTCCTGAAGAAGCTTGGATGGAGGTCTTCTTGCTGCCATATCTAGCTGCATAACACAGGGATCTCAAGAGCAATTGAGGTGGTCAGGTAGAAGTAGAGATGTTTGGTCTAACAAAGGTGGCTACCTTTATTTGACCAGCATAGTAGTTCCCTGTGGAGGCTGGCAACATCTGGTGACATGTGACAAGTTGCAGAATAAGAATGTATGTAACACCCAGCAACCTAAAACATGCCAAGCAAATTGGAACATGCCATTCAAATACTGTTTCAAAGGAAAGTTCAAGTTTTAAGCTCACATTCCTTCCTTACTGAGCCCTTCTGAGTCCTTCAATGGCTGTGATTAATCTGATTAGTCATGATGATATATCTTTAATTCATTAACATTATGTGTCAGCAGACTGTGTACTTAATCCTAACTTTATTGGATATTAGGAAGAGATGTTCAGTGTCAGAAGATTTTTATCATGTCTGTAAAATTTCATGATTGTCAGCTTTTCCAACAGTGAAGTCTCTTGTCTGTCTTTAAAGTCAGAGATGAGGGACCAGAGGCTGTTAACGGTGGTGAGCTGCTTTTAAACATTGCTGAAATTTACTTCAGCAGTGCTGGCAAACCCTTTTCCTCCAAGCAGCTCAGAACGATTGTGTAAGAATGCATCCATTTTCTCATCAAGAAGAACTGAAGGTTTTGACACTTAACACCAAAATCCGTATTTTGAAAGCAGGAAAGCACTAGAAGGCTGTGCTGCCATTGAACAAGACAGACTGGAGAGTTGGACAGAGTGGGGTTCAACAAGACTAAATGTAGGTTCCTGCAGCTGGGGGGGAATAACTGCATGCATCAGTACAGGTTAGGGGCTGACCTGCTGGAGAGAAGCTCTGAGAAGAAGAACCTGAGTGTCCTGGTGGACAACAGGTTGGCCCTGAGCCAGCAGTGTGTTTTTGTGGCCAAGAAGGCCAGTGGAATCTAGGGATGCATTAAGATGAATGTGGCCAGCAAGTTGGGGGAGGTGATCCTCCCTGTCTACTCTGCCCTGGTGAGGCTGCACCTGGAGCACTGTGTCCAGTTCTGGGCTCTGTGTTTCGAAAAAGACAGGGATATTCAAAAGAGAGTCCAGCAAGGGGCCACAAAGATGATGAGGGGTCTGGAGCATCTCCCATATGAGGAAAGGCTGAGAGACCTAGGACTGTTCAGCCAAAACTGAAAGATGATAACTGTCTATGTTTAAAAGTATCTAATGTGCAGGAGACAAATGGATGGGGCCAGGCTTTTTTCAGTGATGTGTGGTGACAGAATAAGGAGCAGTGGGCAAACACTGGAATACCAGAAGTTCCGTACAAACATGAAAAAAATTATTTACTGTGAGGTGACAGTACACTGGAACAGGCTGTCTGGATAGGCTGTGGAACCTCCTTCTCTGAGGATATCCAAGACCTTCCTGAATGCTTTCCTGTGCAGCCTGCTTGTTGGGTAGTAGCCTGCTTTAGCAGGAGATTGGGCTCAATGATCTCCAGATGACCCTTCTGATTCTTGTGATTTCTGGAGAAGCGGGCAGCCCATGGCTTGGATAGGCACATTCTTTGCTGGGTAAAAAATTGGCTGGATTGGCTCAGAAAGTGGTGGTGAATGGAGTAAACACCAGATGGCAACCAGTCACGAGTGGTCTTCCTCAGGGGTTGGTATTGGGACCTGTCCTGTTTGATGTCTTTATTGATGACCTAGATGAGGACATTGAGTGCATCCTCAGTAAGTTTGCAGATAACACCAAGTTGGCTCGAAGTGTCGATCTGCCTTGGGGTAGGAGGGCCCTACAGAGGGATCTGGACAGGCTGGATTGCTGGGCTGAGGCCAATGGGATGAGGTTCAGCAAGACCGAGTGCCAGGTCCTGCGCTTTGGCCACAGCAACCTCAGGCAACAGTAGAGGCTTGGGGCGGAGTGACTGGTTTCCTCTGTGTAGAGGAAACAGACCTGGGGTACTGAACAACGCTTAGTTGAATGTGAGCCAGCAGTGCGCCCAGGTCAATGCCAATGGCAAGAAGGCCAGTGGCATCCTGACTTGTATCAGAAATGGTGCAGTCAGCAGGAGCAGGAAGAGACTGTGCCTCTGTACTCGGCTCTGGTGAGGCTGCTCCTTGAGTGCTGTGTTCAGTGTTGGGCCCCTCGCTACAAGAAAGGCACGGAGGCCCTGCAGCACGTTCTCAGCCTGGAGAAGAGGAGGTGCAGGGGAGACCTTATTGCCCTCTACAACTCTTTGAAAGGAGGTTGTGGTGAGGTGTGGGTCAACCTTTTCCATGTAGCTGGCAATAGTACAAGAGGGAATGGCCTCAACTTGCACCAGGAGAGAATTCAGGTTGTGTGTTAGGAAATACTACTTCTTTGAGAGCGCCGTCAGGTGCTGGCATGGGCTGCCTAGGGAGGTGGAGGAGTCACTATCCCTGGAGGTGTTCAAGAAACGTTTAATGTTGTACAGAGGGACATGGTTCAGTGGGAAATATTGATGATAGGTGCACTGACGGACTGGATGATCTTGGAGGTCCTTGCCAACCTTGGTGGTTCTGTGATTGTCTGGTATGTTCCTGTCCCACTGACTCAATTTTAAGCGCAAACAGTGCCAGAATCTTAATGCAACATTGTGTTTTTAAGACCTCACGAAGTATAAACAGCAGCATCTATTGCAATGTTCTGATGCCTCTTTTTTTACCAGTTTTATTGTTTATTTGCTTTTAATCTCTCCTCTCATTTTCTGTAAAGGACCTTTCAAATAAACAAGTTTAAAATTGTCTGGAGAAATTTGAGATTCCCTTTTGTCGTGTCAGCGAGGCTCCAGAGGAGGTGTTCCCAGCCTCTTTCTTCAAGAAACACATTTTCTTTGACCCTGTAATTCTTCTACCTGGCAGGTAGTCATGATGATGATCTCTTTGCAACTTCTTACATTGATGTGGGTTTGTGTGTTGGCTGTTAGATCATTGTACTGCATCAGTGAAGTAAAGGTGGCCAAACTTGCCTCACCTTTCTAAACTGGTGGAGCAGTTCATTTGATCTACTCTGTGGGTTTTGTGGTTTTTTTGTTTTTTTTTTTTTTGTTTGTTTTTTGTTTTTTTTGTGGAGCAGTAAATGTAAACTGCATTTCTGCACCATGTTGCCTGACTATTTAGTTTTCACATTAGAAGTAATTTTTGTTATATTTGAAGTATTTTTTATCTGTTTCCATATTGCTCTTAAAATTTGGTTTATTTCTCTATTGATATAAAAAGGGTGAGAAATAAAATACTGAAATGGAAACTAAACCTGCAGTGTATCGAAACCTTGGACTATTGGAGAAGCTGGTTTGACGCTGTGTCCCTGTGAGGTTGTAAAAGATGGATTCTGCTTCTCTTTCCGCCTTAGTTACGTAATTGGAGGTTTGCTGTCTGTTTGTATGGTAATTGAGAGTCGTGGAAAAAACACTGGGTACTGTAGGGCTTTTGGAAAACACTCTTAAACACCAAGTTGAGCATCAGAGGGCTCAGAAAGGGAAGGTAGCTAACTGCTCTCATTCACTGGGAGTTGTGTAAGTACACAACCGATGTGGTTTTTCAGTATGGATTTTGTGATCTACATGTATTGAGTTTGCTCGTATTTTGCCAAACTTGTGTTCGCTCTCTGATCTCAACAGGCTTTCCCATTGGCACTGTGTCCTAGGACAAACTGTTTACAGAAACAACAGCTATCTCAAAGTCCTTGACATTACTGCAATCCATCTCAGCAGCCTGTCAGGGGTTATTGTGAACATACATCCTCAAATCAATTGCAGACAAGGGTGCTGTCACATGTGTTTGAGCACTTCTTGCTCTTGGTGCAGGAAGTGCTGATTAGCTCTTCCTCCTGGCCCTTCTGGGAGGCTGCAGAAGCTGCTCGTGCCCAGCAGCTCTTCTTGGCACATCACGCTTTCATCAAACATTGATGGCTGCGAAAAGGCTGGTCTCATCAAACACTGAAGCGCCTTGATTCATTAGTCTATTTCATGCAGCGTAAGACTTTCCAGCACAGATCTTTATTTGAAGGGTACGAGTTCCTTGCGTAAGGACAGTGAAGCGCTGCATCTCTGGGAGAGCTGAGAGATGCTGCCACCTACACCACTGATGGCATTAGGAATAGACGTAGCTAAGCTTAGCGGCAAGATTGGGAACTCCCATCTGTTAGGTACCAAAACGAAATTCCAGCCCTCTGTTTAAGTATTGCCTTCCCTCTTTATATCTTTTAATGACCACTGATGACCAGTTTTAAGTAGTAATATTTTGATTCTCATTATTATTGCTGCTTGGGAAGTCAGGATTGCACATCTTTGGTGGGAGGAAATGGAGGTTAGAAAGAACAAATTTGTCAGGTCTGTCTAGAAAGTATAGACCCTAGTGTACTCCACTGAACTTATTTTTATCTCTTGGAGGGCCTATTTGCAGACTTCATTTCTCCCTCTGGAATAATTGCTCCTGCCCCCTGAGGCAGAGGTTTGCAGTGTTCTGCTCCAGTACAGAATAGTTTTATTTGTGGTGGAATTCAGGCCTATGCATACCACCTGAAGTGACTTGCAAAGCAAAAAATGCTGATAGTAGTGTTGCTTCAGCTGGTGCCTCTTCCAGAAGACACAGCCTGTCCTTTCTGTGGATCAGAAAGATATTCAGAGGCAGCACGCTGCCTTCTTCAACTTTATACTGATTTTTTGTACTAGGCACTTACAGTAATTCAGGGTAGAATTGTTTCCGGCAGTGCTGGGACATTCCCTAGCTTTAGTGTGTTATAGATTACTTAAAAGAGACTTTTTATAGGACTGTTGAGGCTCAAAACTGCTATGATGCAATTTATTTCCATACATTAATTGCTAATAGTCACTTGTGTGTCAAAATACTGCTGTGTCAGTTCTAATATACTTACAAAATAAAAGCAACTGGTAACAAAATGATTCAGAGAGAAGTGCATATACCTCTAACACTAACAGAATATTCAATTCAATCCTGTCAGTTTTATTTACCTAGGAACTTAAGTATGAATCAACCTGTGAGTGAAAATGGCACAATATAATTTCCTGTGCCTCACTGTATTATTTTATGTTCAAATTTAGTTTCTGTTCTGGGAATTCGCATAATCACCTTCTGAGGGTTATCTCCCTTGCTAGCTTTGCATAGTGAATTTTTTTTCTCTTTTCCTGTGTTTGAAAAAACTTTCCTGCTACTGTAAGCTGTCAGCATGATATAACCAGAAATACTTTTTGTGGTGGTGATGGGAGCAACGACAGTCATCTATAAAGCAGCTTTTGTCGTTCACTGGAATTGTTCACAACTGAGAAAGACCCCAGCACTGGGGTGGAGCGTATATTGCACTGTGCTGCCAAGGGAAGCACAGAGGGAAACCGCTGAGAACTTTCTGTAGTGTACAGTGTGGGTGGCCTATCGAAGTAGTGCTACCACGAAGTAGTCAAATACCTTGCTCTTTGTCTTATGTGAATTCAAGATGAAAAGAACAAATCCATTTTTTCCCTCTGGGATTTGAAGCAAGCACATCGATCTTGATGTTCTCCCTTTGCTCCATTGCATCAGCCCACTGCGAAGTGTGGGGTATAATAGTGGGAAAACTGCTTGATTGTGCAATTGTTGTAGGCTTAGTTTTATTCCCTGTGGATGGAAAGCTTGCAGATGATTTCCTGAGGGAAACTGTACAATCACTGTAAGCAGGGAGGGACCTGTGTGCGTATAGAGGTGTATGGTAAAGCATATATTCTAATCTGTTCTCTGTAATAGGAGCTCCATCTTAGTGGAATTAGAAAGATCCCTTTGTGTTCCTTCACTCTGCCCTTTGTATCTCATTGACAATCATGGTGCTTGGTCTGCTTTGATAGAAAGAGGTTTTGGTAAGCTGAGGACTAGCGCAGTCATCTCATCCACAGACAGAGCATAAAGTTGTGGCCTGCAACTTAGTTTAAGTGCCTTTCAACTCATAAGGCAGAGGTCCTCAATTGCTCAGTCTTACACTGAGGTTAATTCAATACTTTTGGGTTCCTTGCTTTATTATTTAGACAGAAAACATAAGATTACTACAGAAAGATGTCTTTGCCTTGCTTGATAATCTTGCCGCAATGATTGGTTTATGTGATCAGAAGTGGAAAGGGTTTTTGCCTAGCATAAGAACAGCTTACTTCCCTGTGGGACACCATTCCATTAAGATGACTGATGTTCCTATTGTAGCCTGAGTCCCAGAACTTATTTGCAATCTCTACTCAGGATGTTCAGTTCTCCTTTTGATCACTATTTCCTGCAGTTAAAGCTCTCTAGCTGGCATTTTCTGGCTGAGGGGGAGCCATGAAGTTGTATGACTTGGGGAAGGAGCAGAGATAACAATAAGCACCCATCTGTTCTTCTTTTCCATCCCTTTGGGATGTCCGGGTGTCCCCTGGTTAGAATTCTTCTCCAGATAAGATAGTGAAGGTGCCACTGTGGGGCAGTCAGGCAAGAAAACAATAGTGAATTGAGTCCAAAACATGAGATCGATCAGTAAGCTGACAGTAAGGAGCAGAGCTCCTCTTTGGAGGTCAAGGCTGGAGCTGTATCCAACATCCCTTTGGCTTCTTCCTCTGATAAACTTCTAGGACAGCTATCCTAGTCGCTTTTCAGAAGCCTTGGGGTCAGAAGCTCTGCTGAGGGAAGGCAGCACAGAGGCATAGCGTGTGCAAGGTCTATCAAGGCTCTGTTACTTGAGTGTTAACTGTTCCTTGGTTGAGTGGGATGTTCCAGTACTTGTTTTTCTGTCTCTGCTTCGTTGTCCAGCCACAGCCAGTGTCTTCAATGGGTGAGTGAAGAGGCATTGCCTTCAAGCTTATTCTGTTCATCATCTTTAAGATCCATGGCAGACATTAGTATTCTCAGGTGAAAGATTGCGAGAAGTGAGAGTGATTTCTTTTCTTTGAAGGCAGTGTGAGATTCCAGGAAAGGAGAAACCTTTCTCTCTGGAAAGGTCTTTGCAGAGCTTGAAGCCTTCCATACTGGGAGAATCTCCACTGCCAAGCACTGTGAGATTTCCTTCTCCTTTAGAAGGAGAGACTCCACAAGAAGCTATGAGCTACTTTTTCACTTGCTTCCTTGACAAGTCTTAACTGAATTTGGAGTTGTAACGCAGTGCTGCTCATTTTGTTGCTTGTTTGTGCTGGAACAGAGACTTCCAGTTATACAATGTGCATGGGATCAATCTCTGCAGAATGGTGGGCTTACAAATGCTTGCTGTAGCCTGATTTGTCATCAAATAAATGTGCTAGCATGTCAGCTTGAGAGCTAATGATATCATCAAGGTTACAAATGGAAAGGCTTTACTTGATAGCTGGTGCTTGTCAGGCTGACTTACTTGGTCCATGCAGAAGGCGTTGGGGAGGAAAAAAATTGAGCCAAGAAAAATGAAAAATGGAAGGGACCGGAGACCATTGTATGTCTTGTGCAAAACCCTAGAGTTTCCAGCCTCTGGGGAGAGCAGATTGATTGTCCACATAGTTTGTCCCACATAGTTGTGGAGTTTCTTCTTAAAACCTCAAATTAGTTTTTGGCAAGCTGCAGCACCAAAGAGTGCCTGGTGTCTGCAGGGGAGTTGTCCTGGGGCAGCCTTGGTAGTCCAAGGGTACTTGTGATGGTCTGTGGTGTTCCAAAGAGCAAAGGCTGCTTTTTCTGCGTGTCCGCCTCCCTTTACTCCTGCCTGAACCCCTTAGGTAAATGGAAGATGGGAGGGTGTGCAATTTCATTTCCCTGAAGTGCCTGCCTCCAGCTCCCTCTGAGCTGTTGGATCTTCATCTCAGTAAATTTTGTCTTTAAACTCTCTCCTGTCTGCTTAGGAGAGAGCGTGAGCTCCCTGAGTGACAGTTTGCAAAGTTTATCTACAAAGGATATTTCATAAAGCTAATTATACTGTATGAGAGCTAATGAGCGTGTGTATTTTTGGTGCTGCCCAGCTGGGAAACTGCGAGGGCATCCCTTGCTTTGCCTCATTTGACTTTTAACATAAGTTTTTAATCTTAGTGACTCACCCTTAGGCCACACCAAATCATGTTGTGGAAACCAAATATGGGAAGCCCAAAGGAAGCTCTTTTCAGCTGTGTGCAAAGAAAAGACAGAACCTAACTTTCACTGTCCTGAGAAGTCAAAGGAGCTCTTGGAGGATGGGATTGAACAGCACTGTTGCTGTCTGTGTTTAGGGGGAGACAAGGAGAGGCAGAAAAGACAGTGGAGAACTGTGTGGTGAATCCCATCAGAGACTCCCCTTCTCCTTGGGAATGCTGAGTGCTGCTTTTGGTAGGAGTGAATCTGCTCCTCTGTGCATCTTGTGAAATACCGCATTATGGATTCCCTGCGTGACAGACCTGTTCTCATGCTGGCTTGCAGCTCTGCAGCGCTCTCGTGGCTACAGCAGCTGCTCCTGTTTTCATACTGCATTAGAGGCTAAACAAAACGTGTCTGTGGGTGAGGATGGCGTAACAGTTTTGTTCAAGAGAAATGTTGTATTTATGGGAGGTACGAGATGTTTACGGAGGGTATGGCTCAATTAGAGTGAAAGCCCATTTTCAGAGGCATGTATAGTTCTCCCTTGAAAGCCAGTGAAGCAAATCAAAATTCTGAAGCAAGGTTTGTCTACATCTAGACCACTTTAATAGAAACAACATAATGTCCCCCCAGATTGCATCCTACTGTTCTTCAAACAAAATGAAAGGGCAATTTTAGAACTTGAGATGTGGTGTGGAAAGTACAGTGTATCCCAGCCTTGAGAGGCTTTGATCAGAGTGATTGGTTTTATTAGCTTAATTCCAGCAAACAGAAATCAATTCTCCTTGCTCAAGACAATATTAGCATTAGTTTAGTTTATTCAGGGATAACTAGTTAAGGGTAAGTGGTGCTCAGTCAGGAAATGAAACCCCTGGACTTTTACTGAGGAAGCTGCCAAGTCAGGGTTAATGAGGAGAATGCTGAAAATGTAATGAATGCTTCAAGTGCTTTTTTTTCTTTCTCCCTGTGCTATTCTTCTGTTGTAATTGTTTGCATAAAGCTCAGAAGGGCCACTAAGAAGGGACATGCTCCTCGAGCACGACACATACATACTAGAAGGTCTGTGTGTTTAGATTTTGCCCTCGCAGACACTCATTTTGCATCCAAACATCTGAACTCTTCTGGAGCCAGAGAGGGTTAGATGGCTTACAAGGAACATGATTGAGTAGAGTTGAACATTTTTTGTTCAGACCTTCATGCCCTCTAGATTTTAAGATGAGAAATATGGGGAAGCTGTGTCAGATGTAGTGAGGCAATGTCATCACACAAAAGCTCAATAGATGCTGTAAATCATAAAGGTGGGCTGCTTTTGACAGGGGTGAAAGTGAGTGTCAGAAGGTGAAGAAGACCAGGGTACATCTAAGTGGATTTTTAAATACAGCGGGCTGCCGTTTCTCAATCTTGCCCCACTGCAGCATTTTACAGAGTGTACAGATTCAAGTTGTATCTCTTTAATCTCAGTTTTGTATAAATGTACAGAGCTATACAAGAGATGATGAAGAACAAAACACCAGGTAAATGGAGCAGGGCCACTTTCTCCTACCTCACTTGTCTCAGTTAGAGGCAGTCTGCTGGGCTATAGATCAGCTCCACTGTGATCTGGGAGAGCAGTTGTTGTTATTAGCTGTTTAAAATTGTGCCCTGAAATGAATAGGATCTGTTAAACTATACTTACAGATTACTTGCAGTTATGAAGTTATCTAATAATTGAATATTTTCTTTCTGTGTGTCTTAAAGATAGCGTATCTTGCAGTTTGCTTTTCAACTCATGCTTTGCAGGGTGATTTGGACTTGTGATTATGACAACTCAACTGTGAGAGCCAATGAGCTATAGGTGGATTTTCAAAGGCTGCTTAACCTGTTAGAATTCTGATCCTCTTCTCCAAGCATGTGGCAGTGCCACTAAGTGCTTGCAGTTAGCACCTGACACATGGGTGGATGTCCTAGGCTTGATCCTGTGCTCTCAGGACACATTTCCTCTGGCAAAATCATTCTCCAGGCCTCAGGTTTGCTTATAAGTATGTGTGTATATATATATATTTTCTCTCTTTTTCTATTTTTTTTTTCTGTCATTGCAGCAGCTATAGAACAAGTCACGCTGTTGGATAATGTTGTAAGAGCTCTGTTAGATCATTTCTTCAAAGACATTTAAGTCAAGCTGTCAGAGATTTTCCACGAGGTAGTTAGCTGGTATTGCTCTCTCACCCTAGGGATCTCTATCTAAATGATTCGGTTAAGTCAGGAATAGAAAAATAAATTATCCTTTGTGATTATATGCATCCTTTGTAATTATAAGTCAACAACTCAATTTGATATCTACTAGATGTTCTCTCTTGTGTCTTGCTGCTTGCCCCAGCCCTGGACCCCTGCTCTGCCTACATCAGCCTGAACGAGCCCTGGCGGAACACCGATCATCAGATAAATGGCTCCCACGGCCAGCCCACGTGCGATAACCAGATCGACGGGGAGTGGTACCGCTTCACCGGCATGGCTGGCGATGCTATGCCTACCTTCTGCATCCCCGAGAACCACTGTGGGACACATGCTCCCATCTGGCTGAACGGCAGCCACCCCCGAGAGTCGGATGGCGTCGTCTCACGCCAGGCGTGTGCCAGCTTCAGTGGGAACTGCTGCCTTTGGAATACCACGATTGACGTCAAGGCGTGCCCGGGCGGCTACTACGTCTATCACTTAACAAAGCCCAGTGTCTGCTTCCATGCGTACTGTGGGCGTAAGTACCTGCGGCGGTAGCTTTGCTGAAATCTGTTTGTCCTTGTGATGCAGGAGCATTGTGAACATTCTTATTCCTCAACGGCTCTGACTGCTTTCTTGCTTTCTCGCCCAGAAACCTGTCAGGTGATGCAACGCCTGTCTACGTGACACTGGTCAGACTGTTCTATGTAGCTGAATTCTAGACTTTGTTCAGCTGACAGAAATCTTCTGTAGCTGACCTGGCCACCGTGATTTAATGATCACTGTGGGCCTTGTGGCTTGTCTTGGCATGCTGCTACATTTGCATCTTCATCTTATAGTTATTAAAGTAGATCTAGTAATAATATGATAATAATATAGGAATTAAGCCAGATTCTGATCAGCTTCCACCAGTACAACTTTCTTGTTGTGGGACAGGTCTGTGACAGATGGACTGGCTGCAAGTTGAAAAGCTGACTGTAGAAATACAGTGTTTTCAGTGTGTGCTCAGTGGTTTGTGTTGAAAACACTTCTGTTGTGCCCTAGATTTTTACGACATCTGTGATGTGGTGGATTGCCAGGGCTCCTGTCTGGACACCAATGACTGCACATGTTCCCCGGGGACAACACTTGGACCTGATGGACAGACGTGTCTTGGTAAGTACAAAAACAAGTGCCATCAGTTACTGATGTTTTCTTTCCCTTTCGTTTTTCATTGCTCACCCTTCAGCCTATTGTCTTGAAAAGCAGTATAAAAAGAATAAGTACATTGAGATCAATTTTTTCCATGCTGCCTAGAACAGGTGTTTGATCTTGTAAATGGTTCCTGATCTCTCCCCGAGGGGTGATATGCAACATCTCACAACTGAATACCTTCCTGTCCCTAGAGCTATCTTAGGTGGAGAGGCTAGATTTGCTTTCTCTGTGGTCCAGCAGTAGGTTGTCTATGCTGAGGGCAGCCAGAAGCACAGTCTCTTTGCATCACCCTGGTACATCGGTATTCAGGGAGGACTCTCCACTCTCTCGTTACACATTTCCTCTCAGCTGCTTTGGCTAATGCCTCTTTCCTCCAAAAGACTCATGGCTCACTGGAGGCTACGCATTACTCTTTACCATACTACTTAGCCCGTTTGTGTGGCATTGTTGTCATGGTTCTATGTCCAGGGCCTGGTGTTGGCGAGAAGTGAAAAAATTGTAGGTTGCAGCACAGCCTCAGGGATTTCAGCTGCATGACACAGTGGTATTCAGTGACTGGCGTTTTGGTGGTTGCTCTGGCAGAGACCAGCGTGTCTAGGAGGGATGGAGATGGAATGCTGTTAGTGAGAGCAGAGTGGGAAGGTGACCTTCAAGAATTTGAGGGGATCCCCATCATAGCCCCTCAGGATATGGGCAGTTTATCCATGGTTATCCATGTGGTGCTGGGTGGACTTAGGAAGATAGACTGTGGGGCGATGTAAGGCGCCAGAAAGAAGTGGCTATTGAGCACCTGCAGATCCACACTAATGGAGAGGAAGAGATGATGTTAGCTAACATTCGGGGGAAGTAGGATCTCATCTTTGAGACCTGGTTTGGTGGAGAAGTTGAGAGCAGAGTTGGTCCAGTAGGCTGCATGACAGATGAGATTTTCCCATAAGGACTCTAGCTGACCAAGTAGGTGTGGATGGGTTTTCTTCACACTCTGTGGGCATGTCTGTAGGCATCAGAGTAGGGGCTATGGTTGTTACAATCTGTGGAAAGAGCAGCCTTCCCCTGCTGCAGATGTATACTTTCTCACACTTTCAATAGGATGGTTTTGCTAAAGCTGCTCCGCCTCTCCAGCTGAGTGACTGACTTAGCTCTCACAGCTCATTAAAAGCATCTATCAACTGCTTCTCAAAAAGACTTCTAGAGACAAGTGCCTTTGACTTGCACCAGCATTCAGTAAATGTGTGGCAGGCTCTCGTGAAAGGAATTCCTGTGGCAGAAAGACACACAGGAGTCCTGAGTCCGGAGCCTGTCTGCACATGCTGGAGATGCCTTCATCCCTCTGCAGCCAGCTAAGGCAGGATTTCTGCTTTACTGCTTCTCCTCATGATAAACAGATGGCATTGTCTCCTCTGTAGTAATCATGCTGGTTTACCTGCCTGCAGCTCTAGTTATATGGCACGGTCTTCCTTCTAATGGCTTTCTGTTGTGCTAGCTGTACAGTCACATCTGCTTTGAACACAATCCTGCTGGCCTTCCAAAGAAACAAGAAAAACTATACTGGCCTTTCCTACGTGAAGAATATTCCTCCTTTCCCAGCTCACTGGCAGCTGAAGATGCTACAGCAATGCAAAGCAGCTCACATCTGTTAATCTCCTTTACTGTGCTGACTTCTCTTCAGTCCATTATATGCTTTGAATCCCAGAGTAGAACTGCTGAGCCCAATTTATATTTCCATTTGAAAACTTACTTAGATGTTAAAGATACCTCTTAGATTTTGTCATGGATCTTCCAGCTCCGTGTGTTGCCTTTGACCTCTTGAATACATGGATTCATCCACAGCTAAAATTAGTTCAGTGCTTTCCCAGCACTGCTGGGTGTTGCTGATGTGGAACAGCAGAGACAGATGTGCTGTGTGTTGCAGGGTTTGAAGGACCAGCAAGGTGCACTGCTGGGTACAGCCCTTGATTAAGCCAAGCTCTAGGACCTTCTAGCAGTATCTCTGTGCCTTTGCCAGTAGCCCTTTCCCTCTTCATTCTCTGTTTTTAAGCAGCTTTAGTTCTATTTTTAAAAGGGAAAGTGTGGAGCCTGTTTTTCCTGGACATGCTTCCTCCATCCCAAGGCTGGGGACCAGCCATTCCTTTGGCTAAATATGTTATATATATATATATGTATATATAGGCTAAATATATAATAATAAATACCTTATTTGTGCCACTTGTGAAAGGAGACAACACCACTAGCTGCAAGCTGCAGATGCTGTCTATGCGTGGGGCCAATTTTATCCAAGAAATCTCATCTCTGACCTGTTTCTTAATTTGAGATTTTTCTTTTTTCTCTTTTTTGGGCTTCTTACAGCTTACAGTAAATGGTATCTTCTGAGCAGTTTGGGTGAATCCCCCTGTGAACCTTGATTGATAACTTCAACATTCTGGCCTGCCTAAGGGAAATCATTGGTTTTGTGGCTCAGCAATAGCAGTGGTTGCACCTTCCTCTCTCTTGTTTGATTCACTTTTTGCGTACAGAGATTAAATAAAGCTGAAGAATGATGATCTTGGAGAACAAAGTACCTTTTGAAGAACAGATGGGTATAGACAAACTTTAACCTTTAAAAGAGAAAATGAGAAGTTTTCACAGCTTTACCAAAAGATTCAAAAGCATCTTGTGTGGTTTTTCTATCAATAAATACCCCCAGTGTCCCAAGCTGCTCTATGCAGCCAGCTCAGAAATGTTTCCTGGGGAAATTCCATGGAGTTCATTGCATGTTTTGCTTTGATTTCAGCTTCATTTATATGTTTACAGCTTTTCTTTATTCTAACGTCTTTATTTCGAAAGGTTGAATTGTTCAAAATTGCTGTAGGATAATGAACCACGTATAGCAGTAGCAGGTGTGATACAAAAATAGATTGGGTTTATTTTTTATGGGTTCTTGTATTCAGTAGTTTTATCAGGCAGCTCATACTCACCCTATTTCAATGTCTTTGTGAATGGGGTGGGAAATGGTTTAGGATGAAAATGTGGAACCAATCTGGAAATTTCCCACTGGGACTGTGTCTGTCTTTACTCTGCAATGTGAGCATTCAGTCTTTCCTCGCAAGTCTGCTCTGTTCTTGGGTTAGACTTAGCATGATAGAACAGTAGAAAGATGGTGCTTTTCACGAGTTTAACACTGCTGCAGGGGATTTTTACAGTCTTGTTAGTGAGTTTTATTTCCGAAGATGTGCCCTCGGTTTTGTGAGCCACTGGAATATGTCATTTACTTGAGCCACTTCACAGCAGACAGTAGCCTGTAATATTCAGCAGAATCGCCCTGATGCATACCACGAGCCCAGGAAAACCAGTCTGCAGACCAGTCAGCATTCCCCCATGGCAGCAGCCCCTTTTTGCCAGCTGTGTTTACCGGGGGCAGACACATTATGACACTTTGTTCTTTGCAGATGAAAATGAATGTGAGCAGGACAATGGAGGCTGCAGTGAATTTTGTGTTAACCTGAAGAACTCCTTCCGCTGTGAGTGTGGGATTGGGCGCACGCTGGGAAGCGATGGGAAAACCTGTGAAGGTGAGGTTTTGGGTATCACAGTCTGCTGGGAAAAGTACAGATCATTAAATCATTCCCTTCCCCTTGCAGTACTAGTTCTGTCTTTGCTCCTTGAAGCTGGGATGGAACATTGCTCCTATCACTTCTGTGCTTGCCAATGGTGCTCTTACTGAAACAGCCTTCTAATCAAGCTGAGACATGCCTCCCGGCTGTTCTCCCTACCTTGTTCGTTTCTGTTAGGATTTGCTTGTATTTATCTCTGTGGGAGGAAAGGCAGCAGAGGATCTGGGAGGTTGGTTGTCCAAAGAGAGCCAGTTATTGCTGAAGATACTGGGATTTGGCTTGGCAGATTTGTATGCTAAGGGTGCAGGGACAGATGTAGCATTACTCTTTTTTTGTCAGCTGGCACTAGACATAGGGTAATGTCATGACATTAGAATGGAATGTGATGATTTAATAGCCTCCCAGAGCAGAAATCAAGGAGAGAGGGATCCAGTCTGTGAGCCAAAACTGGAGTTAAGATGAGTGCTACGTTTGGACTGTTTGTTTTCATGTAAGCAGTTAGTTGTAGGCTCTGCCACGAACAATGGCTGCTGTTACCTCCCAGAGATGGCACCGCAAGGTAGAAATCCTTGAAGAGTTTAGACTGGTGCCTTGGCAGGGACTTAAAAACTAAAGTATTGTTTTGGGCTGTTGTTATTAGCTGTGTACAAAAATCTTTGGGTAGAAATATGAAAAGCTAGCAAAAACTGACTGCTGCCTGATGTTTTCTATGGTCTGTGAAAAGCATAGCGGTTCCTCACAGACAAAGCTGCTGTCTTGCATATTCACATATTGTGGGACTTCAGACAAGACTAATAGCTAACAAAGTGCCTTGCTTTCAAGCCACCTATTTGCCAGAACTGAACACATCTGCAGCCTTTGTGCAGCCTTATTTGAGCAGCAGTGTAGCAGGCATCCATAGTGCAGAGATGGAGAGAGGATGCCATTGTATTTTTGGGCTGAACACCACCCACCTTCATGGTACACTGACAGATAGCTCCAAGCTGCAGCTTTTGTCCCTTTTTCTCCCATTTGATAGCAAAAAACCTTTCATTTCACTTTTGTGAAAAATCTCCTCTCCAAGCTCTGTTAATAAAACATCAGTCATCCAGATGACACTTCCCTGAGGAGAGCTGCTGTACAGGGTGCTCCTGCACTCTTGTTCATTTGTGTGGAGCCAGAAGTGATCTATGGGCTTGGTCCCTTCCACATCCAGCACTGAGCTGTTGGAGAGTCACATAAAATGGCTGTGCAACATGACAGTTTTTATTCTCACTCTCTGCACACTTCTGACAGGACTGAAAGACTCTGCTTGGAGACTCGTTTGTTTTTTTGCTGTTTCCGACGTTGGTTTTTAGCGCCCTTGATATATCATTTAATTTCCCCTTCTGTAAGAAGAACAGTGCTTTTCATGAGTTTGACACTGCTGCAGGGGATTTTTACAATCTTGTTAGTGAGTTTTATTTCCAAAGATGTGCCCTCAGTTTTGTGAGCCATTGGAGTATGTGATTTACTTGAGTCACTTCACAGCCGTTGCTGAAAAGAATGAATGTAAGAGATTTAGCTTCAGTACATGAACTGACGAGACAGGGTAGGGTTAAGAGTATTTCAGTATTTCCTTCTTAATGCTTTACCTGCTGTTTTGACATATCTTGATTTTTACAGTGTTACTGCCATTGCTGAACACGCTGCCTCACTGTGCTCACATCCACTGTTTGGTCTCTGTAAACGTTCAGAGAACATTGATGAATGTCAATGGATGTGATTTTTTCCGCATGAAGGAATTGAATGACATTTCTTTGTGGCATGTGCACTTCTATGTTGGACTCCATTTGGTCAGACTGCTCCTCTGCTGCCATCTGTTGTGCAGCAGCAGCATACAACAATACTGGCAGGAAAGCTCAGCTTCAACTGATACACCACCAACATCTGCCTCTGATGCTCTGGGCCAACATAACAAAACAGGAGGCATTACTTTCGGAACAGCCCTCGTATTTTGTCTTTGTGGTTTGTGTGTATTATGTTTATTCCTGTTTGACTGAGAACATCTAAGTATGTTCATCCCAAAGAGTTGCAATAACAAGCAAGAAGTGAAGGTTACTCAAAACAACTGCCTCCCACTCCACTGTTTTCTTTCTTATTTTCTTTATAATATAAAACCAACAACAGCTGTAAATGTTCTTACCTTCTATAGATTTTCACATATTGAGTATTATTGGGATGAATGTTCCAGGCTCTTTTCTGCAGTTGTAGTGGCTGGGAATATGTTTTGCATGAAAATTCAGATTCTCAAAGAATTGCCTCCGCTGAACAGCAACAGTGTAAGAAAAGACATGAAAAATCCCTCAATTAGCTGTGCTGCAGACTTTAGGCAGGGAGAATTTAGGAGCAGAATCAATCTTACACCATTAACTTGGTCACTCTGTTCCTGTAATAATGCACCTCAGGGCAACAAGCCAAGCCTTTAACTTGCACTGAACGAGTGTAATTTCTGGTAACTCTTATAAGTAGAGTTTCCTCCTCAGTTTGCAAAGGGAATGCAGGAGTATGTGGTATGTCTACATACATCACAGCTAGGAAAACCTCAGGCAAAAGAGTGTGTCTTGTCTTTGCTGTGCCCTGCTAGAGATGGGAACTGGCTGCACGGGAGTCTATCCTCCCTGAGACACCTGAGTGCTTTAACTCTGATGTGACTGAAGAATGAATATGGTTCTGTGTGGCAGAAGTTTGGGGAAAGTTTTCCCTTGTCTTTTTGAAGTAAGAAACAACGTAAAAATTTAGATTAAGGAGAATGTCTCAGAAGCCAGAAAGGGCAAAGCTGAAGAATGCCTACTGAACCACGTTGTGTGTGACAGCACACAATTTAATTTGGTAAGCTTTTTCACAGAATTTCTTGTTAACTTCATGATGAAATAGCAAACGCAGGAAATTGGACGACTAAAACCAAGTTTCCATTACATTTTCTTGATAGCAAGCTCACTGTGCTGCTGCCTTCAAGCTTGGCGCTGGCCATGCTATTTGTTAGTCAGCCAGGAGTATATGCTGAGGCCTGACAGCTCCCTGAGGATCAATGTGCTGATTTCCCCTTCTGTGCAGAAATCGAAGGCTGTCACAATAACAATGGAGGCTGCAGCCATACCTGTATTGAAGTGGAAGACACATACCAGTGTGAATGCCCAAGGGGACTTGTTCTGTCAGAAGACAACCACACCTGCCAAGGTAGGTTAACAGATGGGAGACCCAGCAAAGAATCTCCCTTGACAGCCTGTATTCCTTGCAGATGAAATGTGTGTTCGAAGGAACTTCTCTGCTTTTGTTGTTGTGTGTTCTTCGTATCTCCTCTCCAGTTTGGTTAATGGGGCTTTGTCATGAATGACTCATCATCCAAAACTGAGAGGCTGGGGACATTGCTCTTTTTACCAAGTGGGAGAAGAGAGACTCAGCTGGGTGCTTCTTGCATCACCAGCGGGTTTAGCATGATTAACTCATGAATAACTTATGATTAAGATTGCTTAACATCTCCCATTATATTTCTCTGCTTGAGCTGTGCGTGTTTTTGTCAGATTTATGCTGTTAGAACTAATATTTTCCGTGCCTTAAACTGGGTTTTTTAAATTTCAGCTGAAGTGGTTCAGATTCTTCCAAGGATGAGGTTAGACAGCCATTTTTTGCTCAATTTAAATTTATCTGAAGCATCCTTGTAGGAGAATGCTTTTGCTAGGTTATTCTATGGAAAACTGTCCAAAATAATATCTGAAAATCCACCATTGCTTCTGACCTTACATCTGAAGTCCAATCCCTTCCTGTACGCAAGGAATCCTTCTTGCCAACCTCACTCACACCTGTGGCATGTGTCTGGAATAAACTGATTCTCTTTTCTGAGTTGCTAAGTGAGATTCCCTTCAAATACACCCAAGCTCCCAGGAGTCAGTCTAGTCTAGCTGTGATTGCAGGGAGCAGAGCATTAAGGAAGGAAGATCCTGAGGACATTAAGAGTTAGCTGAGGGTCTGCTCTTACAATCCAGAACTTGCATCCAGGATTCTTCTGAGACTTAGAATCCTACAGCTAGCTGACCCTCGGAGTGCTGAAGGAACGAGCAGCCTGGATGTCTTAAAGAGATCTACTGTGATCCTCTGCTGAAAGGACATGCAGTTTAGAACTGCATCTTGAGGACAACCGTGTGGGTATGTGAAAGGCAGACAGATAATACTCTGGTGGGCATCATCAAGCTTGCCAGACCACTTTTCAGACCTGGTAGGCTCAGCATAAACTGGAGAAAGTGACTGCTGCTCTGGTGGAGGCAGACCAAGCTGGTAGCTCTCTGCTTGTGCTCTACCTTGGTGGGCTCACAAGTAACCTGTGCAGTTGCCTTCAGATATTTCCATGGGAATTTGCTAGTGGGCTTGGGCCATAGTCAGGGCAGGATATACAATGAAGGAAACAGAGCCTGTCATGGTCTGATTCCCTTAGACTTTAGGTAATGCCAAAGAGGATGCACTCAGGGCTGAGACTGTGATGAGGTAGAGATTTGTGGCCCTGCCTGTGGCAAGGAGGTTGGAGATTCATGATCCTCAAGGTCCCTTCCAACCCAGGCCATTCTGTGATTCTGGAGAGGAGCAAGTCCTGCTGTTGAGGCAGGTTGGCTGTCCTTCTGGGGTGCTACCTCCTAACCTCGTTCTGTCAGGAGTGACACAGAGTCAGCGACGGTTCCTTCATGTCTTTCTGTCCTCCCATGTAAGTACCCAAGTGCTTGGAAGTGCTCGTGCAGCAGAAAAGAGATGCCAAGAGCCTGTGAGAAAGTGCTGCACCTGCAGAGATCCTGTGAACACTACTCTGCAGGCAAAGCTAAGGCTCATGGCTGCCTGCAGCAGGGCTGAGTTGCCCTCTGTTGTCTGGATGTCCTCTGTTTTGGCATGTTGTAATCTAAGCTTCCTTTTCATACATCAACCTTCTGCACTCCTGTTTACAGGGTGAGCACTGCCCATTTGGGATTCAGTACCGCTTACTGCTTTACCAGATCCCGATGGGGAGGAGGTGATAGGGATTTCCAAGAGCTCTGATTATTCATATTGATTGAAGGTGTGATTGATGGATAAAAGCCAGAAAGAGCAATGTTCTTCAATCTTGGCTTCCTGAGGCAATCCCAGCAGGATTAGAAGGCCATGCATTTTCCAGCCAGCGTTTTTTCTTCTTTGGCAGCTGCTAATGAGAGCAGCAGCACGGCCAGGTGCCAAGCTGAGGCTTGCAATAAGGCAACTCATAAAGTGAGATTGCTCGTTCTTTTGCATTTCATGAGTATACGCCTCTATCCAACGGCCTGCAATTTTGAGGAGATATGACAGAATATATCTGGAACTGAACCACACAATTTTCTATGGCATCTAACCAAGCTTACGGTTATACAATTAGCAGAGCAGGGCAGGCACAATTGACTGAAGCTATTATATCTGCACCTTATCAACCCTCCCCTGTGCTGCTTATACATTCAAAACAAATATTAATCTTCTTCCACAGATATAGCAGCCTGGGCTGAAATTTCCCCACAGGGATACCAGCCAGCCATACCACTTGAAATTTAGGGGACCGCTTTTGTACCCCACCTCTCTTTGAAATGTGATTGTGAAATGCTTTTCTCCCCTCTGCCACATCCGAGCCTTGTGTACACTCCAGAGGGGATGATACAGCTTATTTCTGCTTGTAGTAGTGGCTCAGGGCTCCCCAGAACTGGAAAGCCTGCACTCAAAGAAAATGCCTGCTCCAAGCAGTTGTACTTTGAAAGGCTGAGGAAGGAGCCACAAGGAACAAGGTGCCAGCTGCTGGAAGCAGTATAAACCACAAAACTTGCCACAGAAGCTTTCTACAGTGGTCAAGGTAATATGCAAATATTGACACAAAGGAGACTTTAAAGTACATAACGAGGAGGCCTTGCCAACACTCAGATGTTCATCAGTGTGGGAACTGAAATGTTAGACAGGCAAAGTCTGAGTGAGGCCTTGGGGAGCCTTCCAGGCTGGGATGAGTCCAGGGCAGCAATGCACCTAACAGCAAAGCAGGGGAGTGCAACTCTCTGAACGCATGAAAATTTCTGTGAATAAAGGTGGATTCCTTGGTCCACAGGATAACCCATTTCTGCTGGGCATCTCAGGCCTGGCAGCTGGGAGCTCATCACCTGCAACGGAATAACGTGTTTGCAGGTAGTCACTGGTACATTGCCAGCTCCTTTTCAGCTCCTCCTGCACTGCTGTTGCTGGCATTGTCTGTTCCGGGGAAATCAGGCCTACTCCTCGCTAAACCATGCTGGTGCAATGCAACCTGCTTGCAACACAGCCACGAAACAGGTAGAAGCAAAGCTCAGTTCTTGACTGTGATTAGTCTTCTGAGTGCAGATTTCTAATGTGATTTGAATTGCGTTACCAGTTATTCTGAGGAGGTTCCCAGTGTGTTTTGCTAAGCAGAGAGTGAGCTTGAATTAGAAGTACATTTGCCCACAGATGTAGTCATATGTGCTTTCATTCATTTCCATGCACCAGTGGTAGGGTGCACATAAATGTCTCCTGCAGTATGAGAGCAGAGGTTGAATGGCACAGCTGACTTACTTTTCTCTCTTTTAGTGCCACTCAAGGACATTCAGAGAGACAGCAGGAAATTTAGCCCTGAACTTTGGAGAATTGCACCAGGGGTGCAAACCCTCTTTCCCAGAAGTACACCTTTATAAAGGCACTGTTTCTGCTCATTGAGTCCCCCTAGAACAGTGAAGCTCTGAATCCGCATTGATCCTTTCAGTTCTCCAAAGGATATTCTTGCCTTCTGCATTATAGTGTTCTCAAAGTCCCTTGTCTCCTTGTGAGCTTTGCGTTTGACTTGCTCAGTTATTCCCACTTGCCTTCTGTTGTCAGTGGAAGAAAAGTTAAGGTAATTCTTAGTACTTTAGTTTTCCATTCTAACCCTGCAGTGTCATTAGGAACGCATATTGCTTTGGGCACACTGCATTCATTTTAGCATATCACCTTGAAAATGATGAGGTTTTTTTTTAAAAAAAATAAAACTGCCTGCAGGTGCACAGTAGCTGTTACAAATATACATTAGCAGGGACATGAGAATTTTTTAACTGGAGGTAGAAGGCAGGTTTTAGCAGCTTTCCTTTTATCCAAAGTCCATGGATACTAAATCTCATAAACGTGATCAGAATAGGGAAGGTAGATCATGTGAACGCCAAGGATTCCAAATATAATTAATTTTAGGGAAAATCTTAGGGAGCCAGCATATTTGCAAAAAGTTTTGTCATGTGATTTTAAAACATTCTAGATGATAATTCTGGGGGGATTCATTTTTCTGGCTGAGAAGGGACTAGAATATAAGCAGTAGTATGCTTGTCCTATATGTAATTGAATAGATATGTATATGCTCTAGGGGTATCTGTAGCAATTACTTCTTTAATGGAAATTATTCCCTCTTACAATTTTTCACTTTGTCCAGTCTCTACGCTTCTTCCCACTTCTTGTGTAATAGAATTAATTGAAAAAAAAAAGCCATTCACTTGAAGTTGTTTATGAAAATTAAATGTAGGTTGGAATGAAGTAGAGTTCTCTAATTGCATTTGTCAGAGCTGGGTATGTTTCTCATAAACATATTGATTATTATGGCATTTTGAGATGCTTTTATTGGCATCTCTGTAGAATCATGCTGCCTTGTTTTGGCATTCTCTATTTGATGCAAAACCTGACACAGAGTCTTAAAAAATGTCTTTGCCTGCAGCACTGTGAATTTGCTAGCTGTATCTGGGAAGGGCTATTCCCAGAACATAGCAGTGCTAAGGATCATCAATCAGCACTGTGCTGACCCAAGTGCAGCTGGAAACACAGCATAGCTATGTTTCTGCTGCAGCTCTAGCTGTTGCTGTTGTCATCTTCTGTGGCATCATTGCGTTAGAAGAACTTGGGGCAGTTCAGTACTGCACATATGGCAGTTTGAGATGGAAGGATTACTACAGTAAGATGATAATCACAAATGCAACATATTTTCCCCCATTTTTTGTCCCTCAGTAATGATTGGTAGTGTCCTTAACCAACTGTGCTAGATTTGTACCCCAGACTTCTGGTAATTTTTTCTTCTAGTTCCAGTGCTCTGCAAGTCCAGCTCTATTGAGGTGAGCATCCCAAAGGATCTGGTTGGAGGCTTGGACCTTTCTCTCATCAACACTTCCTGCAAAGGAGTATCCAACGGCACTCATGTCAACATCCATTTCTCCTTGAAATCCTGTGGCACTGTTGTAGATGTATGTATACCCATTGCTGTCCTGCCCTTTAGGATCACTCAGATTTGAGGACTTCGTTGGTAGCCTGTTTGGGAAATAAAGTTGATTTAGCTTACTGGGGCTACTTCTGGTCCACTGGCCTCAGGGTAGATGTGGGGTGGCATCCCAAAGCTGCTGGTGAGAGCTTGTTCCACCTCCTCTCCTGTGGTGCGCATCTGTCAGCATATGTACAAGCTCTCCCAGCACTTCACAGAGGTGGCTTCACCATCATCCTGGCATGGGAAGGCCAGTAGTGCCATTCTTCAGCCTCCTGTGGGGGCACCCTCTGGTCCTAGATTGTATTCTGAGGGTTGCACTGGCAACTGTTCAGGAAGATGAACAGGTTGCAGAGGATACGTTCACACGCTGAAATTTCAGTGGCTGGGTTATGCCTAAGTTTCCTGCACAAGGCGAATTCAACTGCTGATCTGAACTCAGAGAAGCTCTTCTCGGTTATCTGCCCTTTCCTTTAAACCCTTTTCTTTCCTGTAGGTCATAAATGACAAAATCGTTGCCACCAATCTGGTGACTGGCTTGCCAAAGCAGACTCCAGGGAGCAACGGGGACATCATTGTCCGCACCAGCAAGCTGCTGATCCCAGTGACCTGTGAGTTCCCACGCCGGTACACAATCTCTGAAGGTTACGTGCCCAATCTCAAGAACTCACCCTTGGAAATAATGAGTCGTAACAGAGGCATCTTCCCCTTCACCCTTGAGATCTTCAAAGATAAAGACTTTGATGAACCCTACAGGGGTGCTCCTCCCACCCTCAAGCTTCGGGACTCTCTGTACTTTGGGATTGAGCCCTTGGTGCATGTCAATGGACTGGAGACACTCGTTGAGAGCTGCTTTGCCACTCCCACCTCCAAAATCGATGAGATCCTGAAGTACTACCTGATTCAAGATGGGTGAGTTCTCTGTTCCCTTGCTTGTTGGCTGTTAGATGGGAAGTGGCAGTGGGACTGAGTCGCATCACCTGTGTGACACAGGAAATGCTGGCACTTTCAGCGGTGTTATTTACCATGTTATTTGCAGTCACCAGCAGCCAGGCTGTCCAGCTGATACCATCCGTATTATCACAGCAATTGAATGATAGTAAAATAGGTTTCCTCAAGCCTTTACTGGGCATCTTTTTTTTGTAATTAGCTTGTGGATAATTGAGTTGGCTCCTATAAATGAGATTCTTGCTGACAGTCCTCTCTCTGCCAGCCTGCAAAGCACCTGCCCATTTGGCAGAACCCCTTTGGCAGTGTGTCATTGCCATGCAGCTGCTTCAGCACTGGAGAAGGCTCTTAATTATTTTCCCATACTGGCCTTCCTATAGCATGTGCCAGAAGACTCCCTGGCTCATTCTGGCTGGAGCTCCACAAGCTCCCTTTGCTTTGCTCTTTCTCTAATACCTATCAATCACTGCAGTGGATATAGGGTCCCTCTGGCTGTAATTTTCTAGTGTTTAGGGATAGTGATCATTCCAGGATGTGCTAGTAAAAAAACCTCAGTGTGAGTCTCTGGAATCACTGGTCTCTTTGGGATGGCTTGTAAGTTAGAAACTGGGATCTACTATGACTTCTAAGTGACCCCTGTTCAGATGCTAACGTGACAGTGCCATGGTGCTGTCCAGGGAATGTTTGCATCCAGCATCTGGCAACATAACCAGACAACATGGGAGAGATCACAGCTGGGAGCAGGTCTGCCCTACTCCAGGTAGGAAAGTGCAGCCACATACAGACTCAAGTGTCATAGCCCATCACTTAAAGGATTGGGCTTATGTAAGTCCTGTCTGCCAAACTATTTAATGAGGACAACAATTATTTCCTTGGCTGCCAGGCTGAATTGTCCACTGTCTCAGCTGATGACAAGTCCTGTACAATTGCCTTGTATAAAAAGGGTCCTGCAGAGTACAGCGCACAAAGGTTCTGTTTCCATTTCTCTTTCACAAAGATTTCAGCATCTCCTCTCTCTCTCTAGCCCAAGCTGCAGTCCTTCAGCTCGTGGCATTTATGAGCTGATTTGTAATGGGAGGATTGATTTATCATCTTCCTGACTGTTCCTGTGGACCCTGATAGGCTCAACGCTCCAAACAGTCCTACATTTCCCACCATGACTGTAGATGATGAGCATTTAAAATAGTGGCCAAAGCCTGAGCTGAATAGAGAAGGGAGAAAATGTGATCTCTTGAGTTTATTACAGCACTGGCCTGGGGATTTACCCAGCAAGAAGCCGGGATGTTTCTGATGAGGCCTTTGCCTGCTGCTGGGGAAGGCACACCAGCAGCCCCTTTGTTACTGTTATCCTGCAGAGGGCATTAAAACTTCACCAAAGGGAAAATGCGCTGGAGCAGGCTAACTGGAGCTTGTCCAGCCTGCTCAGCTCTTGGACTGTCACTACAGGCACCAGTGCCCCCAGCCAGCTCCCCACACCGGGCTATATTTAAGTGGTACCACTCGCTTAGACCAAAGGCTAATGATGTACTCTTAAGCTACTGAAGCTCTTTATCTCTCACTGTGCTCACAGCAATTAAAAGGTAAAATTAGCTGAATACACTGCTGATTTGTCTGTGTTCCAAACAGTTCTGCAATAACCTTGTTTCTTTCCATCAACCCAGCGCCAGAAGCCCAAGGCAATAAGGATGAGATTTTTAAATTGGTTTGATTGTGTAGGATCAGATCTGCAGGAGTTAACTGCAGCTGAGACTTCCAGAGGGAAATGCTGTTTATATGTGAGAGGATATGCCTTAAACTGAGAAATGGGAAAACTCTCTCTCCTGCTTTCTTCCCTGCTATTTCCCCCCATCTCCAGCTGGCATGAGATGGGACCCCTCAGCCTCCGTCCCTACATTGCTGTGATCATGCTGGAAATCAAGATTTTCCCAGATCCCTCCTCACGGGCTCTGTAATATACTGTACTGCTGCTAGCCCAGAGCAGCTCTCCTGCTTCTGCTCTTGCCTTTTCCTTTTCTCAAAACCAAAACAATTAAAAGGCATTGACCGGTTGTGTGGTTGATAAACACCACAGTTCTCTGGGGCATCCAGAACCAGGTCGTGGCACTGAGGGCAGTCCCGTGTGATCTGGTGTGCTCACAGGCTGCAATTGGTCTGAGCATTACATGGTTGAGATAGTTCTGCTGCACTGCTTGTCCCATTGTGCCTGGAGCTGCCCTATGTTTGTAGGCTGAGGAGGTTACTGTGGTCCCAAGCACTCCTCCCTGCAACTCATCCCACTAAAAGGATCAGAGTGCAGTTCCCGTGGCAGCCACAGAAGCTCTCCTAACAAAAGCACATTATACATAGAAGAGGGTTGTTTTTTCTCCTTAGTCTGACCAGGCTCACCCATTTTTCCTTCCAAACTTTTGTTCCTCTGCCCCTTCTTGCCTCACAAGGCAAGAAGCAAGATCTGAGGCTTTCCTCCAAGGCTAGGACATGGTATGGCCCCATACACAATGCCAAGTGACTTGACCGTGTGACTTGGGAGCTTTCTGAACTTTTCTGTGGTGCTGCAGTGCTTTTGTGGCAACCTGTTGTAAGACAGACCTAAAGATGCAGTAAGGTCTCTGTGCATCTATCTCTGGTTCCTCTTGTTCCTCCATTTTCCTCCTCCCTTTGCCAAACTGTTTGGTTTCTTGCAACCAGAGTGGAGAACCTACAGAGAAACTGGGATTTAGGAGTTAGTTTGAGATAGTCTTCAACAGTCACCACAATTTATGTGCTCATAAACAGAGGACATGCTTCAGAGTTGACTTTATCATTCTTCACAATTGAGTGCCCTTAGCAATGCTGCTTTTACAAGCATCTTATCCTATGCAACGTAGTACCATCTGACCTTTGGCCTCAAGGTGGAAGAACCTGTGTCACTTTCCTGGATGCACTCTGCTAATTTATTTTCTCCCCGTGGATGACTTGAAGTTTGCCTCCCAGACAAGCTGTCTTGTAGACAGGGACATCTCTTTAGAAATTCAGAATGTTGCACTGGAAGATGAAATGAGGACAAGCTTGACTGCAGCTCTCTGGCATTCCCTCTGCTGAAGGGGCTGGACCACATCCTACCAGCTCTCTGCTGCTGAGCTGTTTTGTCTGCAGATGCTATTATCATCACTGTTGTTTTTTCCCGCCATTCCTGAATTTTCTCCTGTGGCCAAAAAGGAAATAACAGGAATGGCCGCTTAGCTTGAGAGGGCCAAGCCCTCCTTTACTTTCTTTGGTTAAATAGACTGGGATTGTTTTTTTTTCTTCCTTTTTCCATTTCTGGAAAAGCCATTAAAGCCTATCCCTCTGTTTTCCTCAGCTGCGTTTCTGATGATTCAGTGAAACAGTACACGTCAAAAGATCATCTTGCCAAGCATTTCCAGGTTCCTGTGTTCAAGTTTGTGGGCAAAGACAACAAGGTAAGTAAGCTTAAAACCCACCTTTCTGACACTGCATCATCCCTGATCTGACTGACTAGTCTCAGCACAGTATCGGCTCTGTTAGAACGCCAGCAGGAGGAATGGCAGGCCCAAGGCAGGTTCCACTGTGCCTGTTCTAGCTGCTGCTTCTTTTAGGAGCCTGAAATCGGTTCTTTAGAAGAGAGTAACAAAAACAAGTAAAATTAAACTAAATATAAAGGACATTTATGGAGTGTTGGTGGTATAGCTGGCTAAAATAGTGTTTTTCCAGTGCAGTCTTTGGGGTCCCTTCATATGCTGGAAGAGAAAGTCACCAAGCAGAAATCTGGGAGGTTAGCCGCCTTGCACAGTATCCTGTCTTTAAAACAAAATGATTTATAGTTTTCAATCTCATCAACTTTTTCTAACGTGTTTGAACAGATGCCCTTCAGTTTTCTAGATAGGAGGTTTCCAGATACCATTGACCTCGGTGTGAAACCAGGCTGCCCAGGCTGGTGGCAGTTTGGGGCAGAAGCTCTCTAGTAGCAGGACAGCTGAAAGGATAATGCCATCTTCCTAATGCAAATAGCTTTCCTTTTCTTTGCCAGAAGAAACCAGATCATTCAATCACTGTTATGCTCGGCCAATGCTGCTTGCTCCTAAAAGCATGAGGTTGCTCCTTCAGCACCTGCGGAATCCCAGTATGGTTATAAAGAATGAGATCTTCCAAAATTCACAGATTTTGCTCAGCCATCTGTTTGACACTGCTGCCTCCATGTGCATCCTCCTGTGCAATGGATTTTGCTTTAAACCTCACCATTGATTAAACATTCACAATTGTTTGCTTCCCTAATCACAGCTTGCAGGGATCTTACAGCCCCTGTCATTTGGAGGGTAAGGAGCAACAATCCTGTCACTGTCTGCCTTACTTGTGCAGAAAAAAGGGCAGCTGTCTCCCTACTCTTTGTGCTCTCCTTCTTCCCTCAGCGACCAGCCTGCATGCCTAAGCAACTTGCATTCCCCTTGTCTCTCAGGCACCCATCTTTATGTTTTCCCAGCGCTTGTCAAATTCTCTTGCATGTTTCTACCAGTCCATCTCCTTGTGAAGCTTCGTGTGTTCTTGGCCTGCTTCCTACCACACAGCTGCTACTAAATCATGTAAGCTCTTCCAAGCTTATGCCTGGCATTTTCATCCCTTCATTTCACACCTTCCTATTCCCCGGCTTGCCCTTGGCTGAGAGGAGGCACCGTGCTCTGAGGAGACCTCAGCCCTCTCCTAGGCACAGAGGAAACTGGTGGCTCATCCAGCTCGCTGTGGATGGCCATGGTGGCTAAGGATCATGTTGCTGTGAGACCAGAAATGGCTGCACGGTGTAACTTTCATGCTGCTGTCTCTCCAGGAAGTGTTCTTGCACTGCCGCATCCTTGTGTGCGGGGCGCTGGATGAAAGCTCCCGCTGCGCCCAGGGCTGCCGGCGGAGGGTGCGCAGGTCAGCTGGGACGGAGGAGCAGGACGAGCCCAGGAACTTGGCAAACCACCTCCTGACAGGTGGCCCCATCAGAATTGACTTCGACGACTGACACCCAACCCCTGGAACAGCGTCTCTGCCTGGGACCACTCTTAGCGGTGTTTTCTTTCTTGGTTGTTTGAGAAATGAGAGGTGTTTGACAAAGCCCTACTTGAACCTCAGGACTTGTTCCCTAGCTGTGTGATGGTTGGTTGCGAAGCAGCCTTGGCACTTGAGGCAGCCATCTGAGAACAAGCCAGATGGCAGAGCAGTTTGGTTTTAGCTCCATTCTGTTGGTTGAAAGAATCCTGCTGCTTTGCAGTCTTGACCCGTTACCCAAATTTGTCTGTCCCTACAGCCACCCACAGGTTCCACAGGACTGTTCATCTTGGGCTCAACGTACTATTCAAGCCCTTCTTTCATCAGATTATACAAACAGTATTGTACCTGAACGCGTTTGCTGTGCGGTTCTGCGAATGATGCTGAAGCTTTTGGATGTGCTGTGATTTTGGATGACCTTTAATAAAAATGTATAAAAATTTATATATCCCATAACGTGCAAGTTCCTTGGCGCTACTGAACAGTTGTCAATTCAGGCAGCTGAAACTAGGTCTATCACAGGCACATTTGTAGGTTATTTTAAAGAAGTCATAGGTATTTAAGAACATTTTTTAATTGTCTTTTGATAATTGCATGCAGTTTGTGTCTCTTGTATTTAGCCTATCATTGTTCTTTCTTTTCTGTTTTCTCTCCATCCCTTCCAACAGTGTGGTGCCTATTGTAAGTGCTGTAGCACTTCTGTTTGAAGAAAAAGATCATTAAAAATCTAAACACGCCCACCCCAAGTGTGCTGCTACCAAATCTGTGTTTGAAGGTTGTCATGATGCATTACTCTGCACAGGAGGGGCTGTGCCTCTGCCAAAGGGATTTGAGCAATGCATATTTACAAATGATTACTGCAAATACTTAATGTGGATGGTTGCTGGGGACAGGGGTGTCCCCAGTGTGCCTGGTGACAGGAGACATTGTGGCCTTGTTTGTGGTCTCCTGTGGGTAAGAAGTGTCTGGAGATGCAATTACTGGTGATGGTGGTGACATGATGCTAGTCAGAAATCCCTCTGAGCCACCAAACTCCTTCCAAAGAGAACAAAAAGGGTGATAGCTCGGGGCCCTCTGAGTATCACTTAGGAGCAGGACTGCTGTGTGGTGAAGGATTACAAGAGCAGATGGAAGGAGGTGAGCAGTGAAGAATGAAGAAAGAGGCAGGGCTGGGGGCTGAAGAAGCAGCTGTCCCCACTGGTGGCTATGGCACAGAAATGTGCTCGCATGGTTCTCTGCTAGAGGGCTCACCATGTGCAGCCCCATCGTGTGTGGGTTGAGAGGTATGCTGCAGGTCCCCCTTAGTCTGCATTACTGATTTTCTGCTTCAGTTGGAAGCAGCAAATTGCTGCCAAGGCCAAGATTTGTTGCTGCTCTGAAATGGAGGGTGAGACTTTGTGAAGAGACCATTTAGAAGGGAGTCACAAATCACCCCAGCAATATTCCATTCCTCAGATTTATTTGTTCTGGTGACTGACATTTCAGTGATGAGTGGGTGTTTGATGGACTGAGAGTTTTGTGATTTTTCTAAATGGCTTCATGGCTGCTTTTCTGCTTTGGGGATATATGTGTGTGTGCATCCGTGCTAGGCAGAACAAATGAAAATTTTCCTGGGAAAGTAAGTGGAAGTGGAAGGACATTTTTCATGTTATCTAACCATATGTAATGAAAAAGAAATGAAAAAGCCCCCTTCTTGCATCACTATGCTCTCCTGGTTCTGCTGATTCACTTCTGCATTACCACAGTGGCAATTTCCTGCTGTCACTTCTTTGCTCAGGCAGCCCCTGTTGCATGTTCTTATTTTGATAAAACAAGAGCTGGGAAATGAAATTAATTAGCTGGTGCATTCTGGAGAAGCAATGGGTGTTTTTGTTAATGTGAGATGGATGTGGGGAGTGGTGGGAAGGGGAGATTAGTTTCTCTGCTTGCTTTAGTTATGGTTCACATTATTTGTCAGGTTCTTCCTGACAAATTAATACAAAGCAGCCTTTCTGCTCCACAGCTTTTTGTTAAATCATTTGGAGGAGCCGTAAGGAGGAAAAACTGCTCTGCATGGCCATGTGAATGGCACAGTGTCTGGTTTGTCCTGCAAGCAGGGTAGTGGTTCTGCTATCTGCCACTGCCCTGAGCCATCTCTACTCCAACAGAGAGGGAATGGCTTCTAGGCAGAGAACTAAACCATTTCTCAAAGTCTTCTCTCTCCCTGGTTTACCTTCTGTTTCCATCTGTCTTCTTTGTCAGCTTTACATCTTGGTTGTGAAATCAAAGGCCAGACTTGCATAAGAGCCACGGGATTTGTTCTTCTATTTAATTTAATCACCCACACCACGGAGCAGGAACAACCACACTGCAAAAGCAGGCACTGAGCGTGTGGAAGGCACCACACTGGTGCTCCTGAGGGCCCCAGGGCACTGCTGAGTGTGGTTCCAAGTCCAAGCAGTGTCAGTGCTGCCTGCCACATGGGGCTGACGTTCTGGCTGATGTCGCTGCATTCTCATATGAAATGAAAATCAGAATGGTAGATGTTCAGGAGGAGCCACCTGCCATTCCAGTCCATGTTTGTGTCCATTGTGGAGATGCAGAGATTGCTGTTTGAGGCACTGCTGCTGGAAGTGAGCACGCTGACCAGCCAGCTCAAACATCAGTAGGAGCTGAAGTCATCCTGCCAAAGCGCGAAGCCAACAAGAAGCCTCCAGGTAAGCACACTATCTTTGTCCTGTTCAGAGCAGAAACAAAGATGACCCAAGCTTTGGGAACTGAGCTGCGGAGTCCCATGTTCCAATGGCTGCACACTGCTGAGGAGCAGGAACGGCATGGAGGGGAAGCCATTATTTGTTCAGCTGCAGACATTTTACTATACTTCATGCACCATTTCTATCCCTGAGTCACTGCCACCACTTGAAGTTTTGAGTTTTCCTGTTGAGCTGCTCGTGGCTTTTTTTCATATTCCCACAGCTTATTTTTGTAGTGAAAAATGTGCTTCTTCAATAGCTGCCCCACCAGCAGCAGTTTGAGTTGTTTTGTTATGAATGGTAGTTTGAAAGCATGGAAGAATTATTGATGTTAGCGGTGTCTCTGAAGTGTCGGTCTGTGGACAGAGATTTTGTTCAGAACCCTTGGAATCCTCCACTGTATGTCATTGTCTGTTATCAGTTGCTTGCCCTGGCTTTAATCTGTTATCGGGTTACTGAGTTTGACAAGACATATTATTTAAATTGTGTCATTTAATCATAAGAGTGTGCTAACATTTAGAACTGGCAACAGGCATGATTTCACCAATGAAATGCAACATTTGGGAAGTGTTCGGAATGAGAAATGTTTCCTTCCCATCCCTAGCCAAAGGAATGTGTTTCTTAGATGGCATATGAGCGTGTCCAGCCTCGTGCTCTGATAGACATATGCTGCAGTGAAACTTGGCAGTGCAGTATTCACTCTCCACTGGCATTAGCACAGCCAGGAAAGGATGTCATTGCAATTGACATTGCAACTATGAATGAAGGTCCTCCTCTATGGAAGACATCTCAGTGCACCTTATACTATCACTTCCAATTCCCTGTTTTTGTACCTTGGACGGCTCTTGTTGTTGCAGGCTATTTGGGACTAGATGATTCTCATTGCTGTTCACTATAAAGCAAAGATGACTAGCAAGAATAGGAATACAGGGCTTAAATAATTTATAGCTCCACACACCCATTTAAACACAAACTAGAAGAAAGGTAATGAAAACGGACTTTCTATTCTTGTTATTCTTGTTGTACCTTCTGTAGCCTTAACTTTCCTGTGACAGCTGGAAGAACATAGCCATAAATATGTTTGCAGGAAACTGAAGAATTTTCATGTCGTGGCATGCACACCCAATAGCAACTTCCTTTCAGCAAGAAAAACAGTTGAAAAATGTCTGCAAATGTTACATGCTGATGAAATTCTGCATACCATCTTAAATTCTCATTTTAAACATAATAAAAGCTCCCAATAGCAGATGGAAGTATTAACCATGTTTTAAAGAATGCCTTCTGAGACGACTGATTGCTCTCAGCTGGCAGCGTCTCTGCACCCACCAAGATAAGATCCAAGTAAGCCCTGCCATCTAACAGATAAGCCTCCGGGCTTTGGAAAATCTCATCCAAGGCAACTGTGAGCCTTGTGTGTCCTTTGTGTGAAAGATGGAGATGGGTACTCAGCCATTTAGTGTTAACAGGGATCCAGAAAGAAAAGCTTGCTAGAAGATACAGGAAGAAAATAATTAAACAGATACAGTCTGGGAGTCACTGAAAAAAAAAATGCAGCTTCCTCTCCTGAGAATGTGTAAGAGTGCTGTAGGTGTGTAAGAGTAGCTGTGGATTAGTGCTCTGCACATCTGAGATGGGCTTTGGTCCTCTTCTGCCCAGGTATGAAACACACCAGTATCACAAACACGCCGAGTCCTTCTCATGTTGCCAAACCCCTGGGTGTTTTACATTGTTTCATCAAGTATTAAATTAGCAGAGTAGTCAGAGTGTGTAATGATAGAATAGAAAATGTGAGGGGTGCATGTGAGCATCACACTGAGAGCAAATCACTCCTCCCCTTCAGTCTCCAGAGATGGAAGAACATAAACAGTGTGGCCACAGGCTGAGATTGTCAGAGGCTGCAGAGGCCTAATGCTTCACACTGCATATGAGAAAGTTAAGGGGCAGGGGATACTAGCAGAGTGGCAAACAAACAAGTAAAGCCCCTTGTTTATAACCAGCACTGAGTCCTGCTTGCCTTTCCAGATCAGTCTGCAGAGAAAATTGGCATCAGATCATTCTGATAGAGCTGGAAAGGGATAGGGCAGTGTAACTGCAGCTGCGGAGGACAGCAGGCATTTCTGCCCTACTTGCACAGGCTGCCTCCCCTTTTGCTGCCTTCTGCTCCAAAGCTGCAGCCAATGTGTGTTGCTTGGCCAAGGTCCCTGTGTGCCATGCTTGGCCAGAGGGCTGCTGGAAGTCACTGAGAAGAAGCGCCGTGTGCGAGAGGGAGCATTGGCAGCAGCTCGTGAAGGCCAGGGGGTCTGCTCTGCTTCATAGCTCGTCTCGCTCTTCCTCGCTGCAAATGCAGGCGCTCCGCTGGCTGTTCATGAAGGGCCGGCAGCCCAGGGTCCAGACAGCATTGAACACGGTGTCTGCGACGGACTCACAGGCTGTGGGGGTGGAAGAGATTAGGCAGTCAGGAGCTGGCTCTGTAGGGCATTGGCAGGCTGAGCCCTGCGCTGAGTCCTGTGGTATTGCAGTTGGGAACATGGACTGTTTCTCTCTGGGTATTGTATTTGTACAAATCCAGAAGTTACCTTCAGCAAAAAAGTGGGGACTCTTCTCCTCCTGATGTGGCACCAACTTCCCTCCCTGCCAGCCACGTCTCTCAGGCTTTTCTGCTTGGTGGATCACTTGCAGCACTGCAACCAGTGCTGTGTACCCAGCAGATTTCCCACTAGACATTGGCAGCACTGTTTCTCCCAGCTGCCTCTCCTTACAACTGTTCATAACCACTATGAACTAATCTTTGCCGGTGTTTGGAAGGTGCAGTGCCAGCATGCTGTGACTGCAACAGTGTGCCTGACTGCCAGCCCCTTTCTTTCCTCTAAAACAGCCCTTGTCAGATCAACAGATTATAAGATCTTTTAAGGTTGTGGCTCAGTGGTGCTATCTGTAGTGCCATTGTCATCTCTTATCTGTGAACCAGAGCCCAGTCCCTGGTTCTCCAACTCATTGGCCCTTGGCCATGTACAGGTTTGAGCATGTGGCTCGCAGGCTCTGGAAGACTTTTTGATCTTCCATGAAGGCATCTGAACTCTCAGGGAGGGCATCCAAGGATTAAAAGAATTGCTTCTAGGGGTTTTGGTTTCCTTTTTCTCCTTTCCACACATCTTTCCTAGCATGTCCCCATGTTAAATAACTTCAGATGTCCATCCCTGGGGCAGGAGCGTGTATTCTCCCTCAGCACTGACCCATCTTTAGCACTACTGGGCAGACACCCTGCTCCCTTCTGCAGGTTTCTGCTTCGTTTGGCAAAGAGGTGTCTCCCTGTGCACACCCTCCCTTCCCTGCCACCACTTGTTCCCTACTTGGGGGATGTGAGCTGGGGAGCCTACCTTCCACCTTGGAGACAAAGCCAAGGCTGCGCTTGAGATCAGAGCAGATGGAATGGAGGCACCAGCGGAACTTGGCATCGCAGCGGTATTTGTTGGCTCCACAGGTGTCATAACAAATGTCCAGCTGGTTGCAGCACTTGGTCATGGCAGGGATACCCAAATCTAGCTGGGAAATGAAAGAAAAGGAGCATCTCTTGGCTGCTTCCTGGCCTCGAAATCGCACAGCCACAAGTGGCTGAGAATTTACAGTGCCCGACTGGCTCAGAGCCCCCAAACCAGAGGTATGGCAGAGTCTCCATTTCTCTTTCTTTGTTTTTGCACAGCCTGCTTCTTGGCCTAGTAAATCATCTAAAAGGGTTATCAATGCCTTGCTTCTTACAGATGTGTTTATGGGACCAAGGACAAACACAGCTTGCTTGGAGGGAACCTGCAGCTTAGCTAATAACTGTGGGTTGGTGGGGCAAGTCTGTCTCCTAGAGGGATGGGACTCATTAGCTAGTTAGAAATTCTTCCTCTTTTCAGCCTTCCTCATGCAGTATTTATTTAGGAGATGTGCTTTTTCTTCATTGCATTCAGTGCTCATGATTGCCTGCATAAGGAGGTGGCACCGCAGAAATGCCCACAAGGTTTGCAATGAAATGTGGTTTAAGGAACTAATCTAACATGAAAAATGGGCTTTAAAGGGAGGGTTTTTCAAAGCAGGAATCTGTCTAATTGCTTCTTCATAGGCAGCAGTAATGCACTGGCTGCATAGTAATTCCTGCTCTAAGAGCCTCCTGGGAGAGCTTTTCCTGGTGATTCCAATATTATTTCATTAATTGCCTTTAAAGTGGTGAAAAGGTACAGTATTAACGCCTACAGTTTTATTTCAGTGCTCAAGAGAGGCAAAAAGCATGGGAGGGACAAAGGGCCAGGCGAGGATAATACATTCAGGCATTGCTGTTTGTGCATTATGTTAATGCTCAATTAGCATAGGCCCTGAGCTGCCCAGTGTTGGGTGTTTTCTGTCCTAAAGGCAGAGAACTGATGATATAACTTTTTTTTTTTTTTTCCCCACACTGATGTTCTGCTTGGCCAGCCCTTTTCTTCTTGTAGTGCTAATCTGCACAGGAATCTTTCAGTACCTACAAAGCAACAGGTCAGGCCTTCATAAGCCTAACTTCTGCCTACGTGATTCCTGCTTGTCTTCCATTAGCAGCTGAGGTTTAATGCTTTCCTGACTGACAATAAATGGGGCCATGCTTAGGCTGACTCCTCCTTGCCTGCTGTCAGCAGCCAGCCGTGTCTCCTGGCAGTCCTGGCAGACAGCTCATCCCCAGCACAACCCACTGGTACTCCCTTCTCCAGAGCTGGGAGGAGAAGCATCGCACTGGCAGCACGCAGCACAGCTAAGCATTGTCCCTCCCCCACATCATTAGCGGCTTAGAGATGGTTAGCTGTGAGTAGAGAATTTCATTAGTTAGGAACAGCACATACACTTTGGGGTACCTTGAGCCCCAGAAAATAGGAGCTGCAGCCATTTGGTTCTTGGGGCTTGTAGTGAGGTCGTGGCATCGGAGCCTTCCCTGAGGAAGAAAGGAAAAACATGAAGAACACTGATCTTCCCAAGGGCTGTACCAAAGAGCTCTGGGACTCTCCCCAGCTCTTAGCCATGGGTGAGTCCCTCTTCACAGCGTGGGGTTTTGCTGAGCAAAACCTCCGTGCTGCAGCTGGGGCTATCCAGCTGCATTCTTAATTCCTCCAGAAAACTCCTCTCCATCCCCAGTGTGCTCGGGGTGAGGGAGCTACGGATCAATGCAGAGCCATTCCTGGCTGATCTTGGGCCCTGTGTTTGGTGATGTGCTGCTCTTTTAAGCTCTGTTTCTTCTTGTCAGCACTGATAACCATTTCAGATACTTTTCCCTTGTTTTTCTTCCAGGGTACCTGAATTACCTGCCATCAATACAGCTGTAAGTCTGTTGTGTGTTTGGAAAGGCCTCACAGCAGAATCCCTTAGAAGGTCATATGTGGGAACACTCCCAGCACCTTCTAAATTAAAAACTGCCTGAGTGGTTTTGTTTAAACAACAGGCTTGCAACAAATAGCAAACCAAAAGACTGTCTGGCTGTGGGATGTCAATAGGCAGCTTTCTCCAGCCCTACACAAATGCAGTAGGCTTCAGGGATTTAACTGTCTGCAGGCTGAGATAAAGCTCTCCTGCTGACTTTCTCAGCAGGCAGTGGCATTTGTGTGGGGAGGTATTTCTCAGTGCTATTGTCTCTCCTTTTTGCCCCCTTCAAATAGGCCAGATCTGGTTCCTGCTCCAAATGGTTTTCTAGTGCAGAAAGCATTGTTGTTCTGAGCAGGTAGAACTGAATTAAGAGTAGTGAAAGAACACCAATCAGTTGGTCACAGCGCATTGCCATTACAAGATTGCCTTTGCACCAATACATAATTTAAGTCCATTGAGATATGCTGGCATTTTGATGGTTATGCTATAGAGAGAAGGGATTGTGTCTATAGATCGGCTGAATCTTATAACCCAAAACTCACAGGCAATACAGTGAGAGGAGGACTGCTCCCTGGATGCATTTCACAGCGCAAGTACAGTTTTGGAAGGGACCAAGAGCTGGGACTCAGAGTTCAACCCTAGCTGAGGAAGGAAGCAGAGGCAAGTTCACAGTTCAAGGTGGATTTTGCAGGCTGAGAACAAATTTTAATGACTTGCTTGTAATATTGGCAGTAAGTTATGATCTTGCAGCACGTTGTCAGTTATGGGGTAAGAAGGCAGAGCAGGAGTGGGGCTATTTTTGGATATGGAAGTAACTGTTTCCAGAGAAAATCTTCAATAAGCTTAAGCTACAGCTATTGTGATGTCTTACACAGGTGGCTGAAGTGAAAAAATATCTGGTGAGTACTGCGGAATCAACAAAAGTGCTCAAGATGAGCCCATGTAGGAAAGCCACCTCCTCCTCTCTGACAAATTGAGCTTAATCATTTGTCAAGTGCACCTTTCTGAACTCCTTCTCAGCTAGATAAAGTCCAAGACACCACGCTTAACCTCTCTCCCACAGCTTGTTTTGTAGCTCAGGAAAACAAAAACAAAAGCAAGGCACCATTTACAAGTAATCCTCATTCTACACATAGCAACTCTGTGATTGATATCGCTTACTGCTTGCCTGTCCTATGGGCACGTCTGTGATGGGGAGGGGATGAGGTAAGTCCTGCCAGCTGGGTTTCATCACTTGCCACACAGCCCTGCTGAGAAAGCTTCTTCTGTAGAGTAATATTTCAGGGCACAGTCACATTGGCATCATAGAGAACTGAGGTCGAGCTGCTAATGGGAAGTGAGTTTCCCTGATGCATTTTAGTATCTCCAGGCTGCCGTAGCTGTACCAAGGGACTGGAGAACAGCCAGCTGGCTAGAGGAGATCTCTGGCCCATGCAGGAGGTCTCAGGCACTGCAGTGCTGGTACAGTGGGGCAGGGGAAGGCAATACATTTCTGGGTGAACAGATGGTCCTGGGGTCCCACACTGTGACCCTCCAAGTCCTGCCTGCCTAGACAGCTGGGAGAAGTTATTCAGGGATTTAATCCCTGTTCAGGACGCTGTTCCCCCCAAGATGCTTACAGAGGTTTCATAGTAAGGGGGAGATATTTTCCAGCAAATACTTGTATAAACAAAATTTCCTGATTTAAGGGAGTAATCTGTCATGTTGTCTGTTTTCTCACCTCACCAGGTGCTGATAAATCCAATCTAGCAGCCAGAACAGCCAGTTCTTTGTGCTCGGCTGAAGATGGATGTGTCAATTACAGGTGAGTCCTGACCTTTATCGTGGCAAAATAAGCAATTATCAGTATCCCTTGTCTGAAATGAAAGAGTGGAATGCACCAATTTTATTCCTTGGCTGGAGAGAGAGCAATCAGGCCCTGATTCAGCAGCAAGGCAATACAGATGGCTGGCATTCATTCTTCAGGGCACAGGCATTTAGTCTCACTGGTTTGGGATCCTCCCTGCATCCCCTCCAACTACATGAGCTAGAGTCCAGCACAGGCAAGTAGTTCTGGGGGGGCCAGAAGGACCTGTGGAAGTATGTGAGAAGTGTTTGAGAATTGCTGCTTCTGCCAGTGCTTAATACTTGTTCAGGAGAGGACAAAAAACAGTGCCAAAGAAGTACTTGTTGTTTTCCTTTCAAGGTAAAGCATTTCTCTGATATGAAGCAGGATGTTCCAGAGGAATGGGCAGGCCTTTGCACAGGAGCGGGGCAGTGGAGCCAGGACAGGGGAAAGCCATGGCCTGAGAGCAATGACTTCTCTGGAACAATGGTGAGTCATGAGCCTCTCTGAATCGAGCTTCATCACCCATCTTCCCTTCCGTGGCCTCAGCACACTATAGCATCTGTATTTCTCCCAATGTCTTCCCCACTGTGGGCTCAGGAGATGTTTCCATCCAGCTGAGGAACACTGCAGATAGGTCCACACAGCCCAGGGAGACACAGTGTGCAGCCCACTTCCTAGAAGAAGTGGGATGTGTGTGGACAGAAACTGAGCTGGGAGGATCTCTCCAAAGCATAGAGTCCATGTCTGTAAACTGGAATGCTCAAGGCAAGAAGGGATGAAAACACCTCAGTGCTCACAGGCATCTTGCTCAGGCAGTCACCAGGGATGTGGGATGAAACTGGGAGGAAAGTACCTGGTGGGTATTGCTGGATGGGCAGGTGACAGAGGGCTGGGCTCTCTCCCAGGACACATATGGGAAGCTGGCAGGAGGACGCAGTTCCTGCTGTTCCCAAACAGCAGGTTGGATGTTAAGAAAAACTTATCCCATAGAGTGGAAGTGCATTGAAACAGGGTGCTGAGGGGGCTGGTGGGGTCACCATTCCTGGAGGTGTTCCAGAGCCACAGAAATGAGGCACTGAGGAACGTGGGCAGGTGGGGGTGTGCTGAGTGAGTTGAGAGGGCTCTTCCGACCTGAATGATTCTATGAAGCTGGTTGGTATCCTGCTGATGGCTACTGCTGCCTGGGCCCATCCACTGCTCTGTGTCCACACCAGGGGTGTGCCACAGCCCCGTTGCTCTGTCACCTGCGCGCTTCCAGGCTGCCTTGTTGTCCCTGATCTGCCGCCTTCTTTGACTGCCCCCACTACAAATCAAACTCTTCCTTTTTAGTAAATCTCTCAAAGTCCAAGGCGAGCAGCACTGCCTCATTCCGCCTTGAGTACTAAAGTTCCTCCATGGTGACATGGGTTCCATTTACTTTCCTGTTATCTCCCCTCCTCCAACCCTTGCTATTAGCCAACCTGCAGCTGCTGAATAACCCACTCCGAAGGTTGCTGAGATTACGGCTACCATTGGCTCCACCAACCCCTTCTCCTCAGGGCTGCTCTTCCTCCCTAGCAGGCCTGGTAGCTGGCAGCCAGGCTGCTTGCATACTCTTCTTACATCCTCTCCTCTTGTTCTATTGTCCCTGGCACTGAGCAGGCTGCTCTCATTAAGAGGGATGAGGAGGTGAGGGTTCCCTGTGCTGGAACCAGCAGCACAGCCATGACTCATGCAGTGACCCATCTGTGCTGAGCAGGGCAGGGGTTTGGTTACGGGTGCAAGAGGCTGTGGTCTCAGGGAAGGAGAGCTGTGGGTGTCAGGGAACGCAGGAGCAGGGAGAGAAGGGCTGTGCGGGGACATGGGGTAGCAGCGTGTCTCTGAGGGCTCCATCAGCATCAGATTAGGAAAGTAGTAGAATGTATCTGTCACTGGCATAGAGCAGTGTGTGCAGTGTGTAGACAGGCCGACTTTGCTGATGGCCTTGCTGCCCACCCCGGCGGCTCCTGTGCAGAACAGACAGACAGTGCCTATTGCAGCAATTGAAGCTGCCCCCAGCCCCAGACACAGTGCTCTGCCCCGTGTCCCCAGTGTGGGACACCCCTCACTTACCGTATCGACACCTGTATTGGCAAATGCCATTTTTCCCCCCGAGCAGTTCCAAGAAGGAGTCAAAGTAGCTGTTAACCGTCTCAAAGCTGTCCCGGATGGCCCCAATGCCCCACTCCGGAAAGTAGGACTCTGTGTAGGAGGTTTGGGCGGTGTTCTCCTGCGTGGTTTCCTCGGTGCTGTGGCCCAGGCACAGGATCAGGCACAGAACCGCCGCCTCCAGGAGCAGCCGCATCCTGCAGCCCGGACGCAGGCCCCGCGCCCTCGTGCACGCCGATGTGTGGGCAGGGAGCAGTGGGAGCGAGCTGCGTGCGTGGGAGGAGGTGAGCACCCTGCTGCCCCGAACTTTAAACGCTGCTGAGGGACCGGGATGAGGTCACAGCAATCAGAGTGCAAAGTGCAACACGGGGTTTGGACTCATAGAGGAATACCAGGTTTGCATTTGCACAATCCCACTGGAACCGGCCCAGTTATCAGAGCACCAGGGGATTGGCTGCTGTGACAGGGTCCCCCAAAAGGCCCTTCCTAGAGGCAGAGCAGGGGCTGCTTGCCCACCGGGAAGCCCTTCGTTGCCCACCATGCCCTGCTGCCTGCAGGGGGGGGAGTGTCTGCCTCCAGCCTTCCCTGCACTGCAATAGCAGCACTGCTCCCATGTGGCACTGCTGATCCTAATGCTGGGGCCTGTGGGCACATGTGGCCATGGGGGAGTTTGAAGTTACTCATTAAAAGAAAACAACCGAACAAACCAACAGCAATAGACAGTGCAAACCACTGATAAAGGGAAGAGCTCCGCTTGGGAAGCTCTGGATATGTCCTGCTCAGACACAGCCACTCTGCAGACTGCCCTGCAATGCAGGCACCAGCAGCTGCTCCATTGGCCACTTCTTTTCTGGCACTGCACTGCCAGAGGCTCTCTGGAGCGGAGGGGAGCCAGGCTGTTGGCTTTTCAGATGTATAGCAAACATAAATGCAAATCCTGACACGTTTTTCAGGAGGCTCAGCCCCATGTCATGTTTACTGCCCAAGAGCTAGAGCCCTCCAGCACCCTGCCCAGGCCTTTTCCTGCCCTGTGCTCCAGCTATGGGATAAGGAGGGACCACCTCCATGTCTGGGCTGCCAGTACAGGTCAGTGGAGGGAAGAGTAGGCAGCTGTTCTGTCCCTCGCTGAGCAGTGCAGAACTGGATCCAGCTGCTGCCTTCTGGGGCCTGTTTCCAGGCACTTGGGCAGGCAGTGCAGGAGACCCAGACCCGTTCTGCTGCTCAGGCCGTGCTGGGGACGTGGTGGTTGTGCAGCAAATGGGCAGCTTTTCTTGCTGGGATTTGTTGTCAGGCAGCCCCAGTGAAGCCATCCAGGTGGCTGTGCCTGGTGCACAGCTTTGTCACCTCATAGTCCCTGAGGTGATCCATGAGCCACCCAGTGCAGACAAGCAAGGGAAGAACGCTGGCAGGGCAGCAAGAGATGCACAATGCAGTGCCTAGTGCATGAGCTGTGTGCACTGTGCTGTGCAGGACGTGCAGGCTGGAGGCTCTGGGCAGCGAGCGTGAAGCCAGCGCCACTTGCAAAATCGATCAGGATTTTTTAGGAAAGTTGGACAGGGCTGGGAAGCAGCTGGCAGTGTGCAGGGCCAGGGAAAGAAGCTTCCCTGCTGGTTTGTCGCTTGCGCCGAAGCAAAGGCCTGTGAATGAAAAAGCAGCCCTGAGCTGCTGCCCCAAAACGTGGCGGCTGCTCTGCCCTGCAGGGGGTGAGCCACCTTCCCCCCCTCCTCCAAATGAGGCTGCAGATGCCTCCTGCCTCTGCCAGCTTCTCTCTCCACATGACGGAGGTATGGGCGGTGGTGAATTCCGACAGCTGGGTTCTGAACCTCGTCCTGACCCTGGGATGAGCAGCTCTGAACGCTATGCATTCATTTCTGACACTGTAATGCTCAAATATAGAGCAGCCCGGGGCGGGGATGAGTCACTGCTCCTAATGGCACAGTCAGTGCTGGCGGTGCTGCAGCTTGGTGGTGGGGAGCACTGAGTGGGCAAGGGCCCGTTGGTGGACTTGGCCAGGGCCTTCCCGTAGTACTCTGCTGGGGTTGTGATGAAGCACGGGGGGACTGCACCCTTTGGGGGTGAGGTGCTGGGGTTGAAGCACAGGTTGAGGCAGGGGAGCTGGCAGCCCAAGGTTAAAGTTCGTGCTTAATGATGGCTGGGTCAAAGCCTGACTTGGGAGCCAGATGAGTCATTGGTTATCCATGCAGCTGTGTGATGAAACACCTGTGTTCCTCGAGGGCCAGCCCTGAGTCCCAGCCCGCAGGATGGGTGGTAGGCTCTGCCCCTGTCCCAGCACCCCTGCTGGGTGGGTGGTGTCACCCCACCACGGCCATGCTGCCAGCATGGGCAGGGATAGGGCAACGCCTCAGTCCTTGGGCTGCATAGAGAAGCGAGGGCAGATCCCGAGTTGCAGCCAAGGGTTCTGACAGCAGCACAAGGCTCTGCTCCACAGACAGCAGTAGGGCTTGTCACCAGCCCTTGCTACATTTTAGTTGTTTACTCATTGATTTTCCCCAGCTTCCTGATGACTGCAAATTAAGTACAAGCTCCGCTGTTTTTAGAGAAGCACGAGGACAGCTGAGGTGTATGAGCTGCGGGAAAAGTCCAGCTACGGAAGCGATCAGCCCGGGCATCCTACGTGTCAGTGCTGTCTCCTGGATTGCTGGCGGTAGGTGGACGGTTGGACTAGATGAATCTTAGAGGTCTTTTCCAACCTTAATGATTCTATGACAGTCTGATGTGTCCTCCCTTCCCCAGAACTGTTCAGAACTGGGTGTCTGACTTCCTATCAGGAAATGCAAGTATTTACCCTCCCTGACAAAAGGCTCCTCTAGCAGCTGACCCTTTGTCGGTCTGGTTTTGAGTACCAAGCCAGGAGTGCAATTACTTTAACAGCTGCTGTTACATCTCACAGCAGCTACTGAAAAAAGAGACCAAGGGCTGAGCCACGCTCCTCCCTCAGAGCTCTTGCACGCATGCTTCCAGCCTAGCATTAGCTGCCATCCTCTTCTGCAGTCCATTAGAGCCTCATGTTTCCAGGCAAGACACAAAGCTCGAGTCTGAGGACGTGCTTTAGAGGAACTAGTGGTATGAGCATCCCTCCACACCTGTCTGCCTGGATCATGAAGTGAAGCAAACGAGCTCTGTTTCCAGGAAACACATACGGTGATAGAAGTATGCATGATCAGATTTAAGACAGCCACATATGACGAGTTTGATGTGGAGGATTTTTCACTGCTACTGGCAGTGGCTTTTATTTTAAGCCCATTTTTTTATATTAAAATTTTTATTACAAAAAATGTAACAGTAAGGCAGTTTCTCAATTCTCAGTCACTGCGAGCCAAACAGTTTTCAATCATCTTTAATACAAAACTAGATTCACACAGGAGCCACGCTCTTGATCCACGACAGCCCTTGGAGAAATGAAGGGATAAGGCAGAGAGGAACACCACCACCTGCATCACCACTCACACACTTAGGACAAGGTGTACAAACACTGCCGCAGCAGAAGAGGATGAAGTATGGATTATCTGCAGCTTAAAGGAAAAACCTACGCTTTCTCTACCACTAACCTGGGACGTTTCAGTCTGATGTGCCTCAGCAGACTTGAGTTTTGGGAGATCTTCCTTTGAAACCAAGTGAAATTTTCCACTGTCAAAAGACAAACTGTTTCTTCTCTGAAGAACTGCAGGTCGTTACGTAGATCACTGATTGAAGAAGTCCTGCACAAAAACCTTGTACTTCCCAAGTGTTGCCTCTTTAGAGACCATTCTTAAAATGAAAGTCAGCCTTGGAGCTACCTGATAGCAGCTGAGGGAGGGACCTGCTCAGCAAACTGCCCTGTACGTTCCACTGGTTCTTCTGGGCTCACTGTTCAGCTTTTGGTTTTGAACCAAAAATAGGGGGAAAATTGCTTGATACAATGAAAAGGTGATTTTTCATCACTTCAGCCCTCTATTTTTCCATCCAACATGTGCGAGCCCCCAGCATTCTCTTACAGTGTCACAGTACTAGAACAATCACTGCCACATTTATTCAGAATTTCTGTCTTACCTTGTACAAATTTTATCTTTGAATTATTTTCATGTCAAGTAATTCCTCTGCCTGCTTCAGAAAGAAACAGCTGCTCTGTTAATAGCAAAACCAGACGCTGCTTTCCAAACACATGCGTGGTGGTGATGCAGTGATTCTTTCTGTGCTAGTTAACTGTGCAAAACGGGCTTATCTAAAGCCATTCAGAGATGCCTCTGAGCTACTGGCAAAAAATGAATGCCCCCAAACAGGATTCCTAACACCACACTGCTGTCTGTTACTTGCAGGGAAGCAGCAGGACTCACCCCTAGCCACCACTGCCTTCTTCTCCTGGAGCTTAAGAAAAGGGAGAAGATGGAAAAGAGAACACCATAGATAGGAAAAGACTGTACTGACATCATGTAGAAAGGTGAAAACTTGGTTAAGTAAGGATGTTACGTATTCTTTTTGTTTTTACTTGTTACAACTTAGCATTATTTTTATCTCTCCAATTTTTTTATTTTTTTAAGAGTCTATTTCTATCAGATAGATACTGCTCTGTTGTACCAGCAACTCTGAATAAGTGAGCAGTACAGAAGTGGTGGAGCTGTTTCTGACTTCTCCTTTTGTTAAGTACTGGATGGGGCTTTGTTTTGCACCTTTCAAAAACACAAGCACAATACAGGAAGGTGCAGGGCTAAGGATAAAGTTGTGGAGGTCCCACTGCTAACAGGCTCAGTAGAAATTTAACAAGACATTTTGCAGCAAAGATTTTTAAAGTAGGCAGTGTTTCAAACTCAAGTACCATAAACTGCATCCTCCATATTCTGGAGGTATTTCTCACATGTAACTGTTGGTTTCTTCTACCTTTTGGCTCAATTTTCAAGATTTTGTGGAGGCAGAAAACTAAAATTGGAATTTTTTTCCTTGGTAAAGACTTCAGGCTTGACCCCTAAATCAGTAACAACCATCATCATCCAGAAAATCAGACTGTTTAGGCAGAATCTGGTGCAGCTCACTTTAATTCTTGTTCTTATGCTAGTGGAATAGTCAGCCGTTTAGCTAAAAATCCCACTGAGGAAGAAGGATGGCTAAGGAAAGGGAATCTGCTGCAGTCCCTCCCTGCCCTGCTCAGCTCCTTCTGTGCTGGGGGGAAGCAGGGGCAGCAGTTATTCCTCCCACAGGAATCTCAAGAGCAGAACAGAAGTCCAACAGCTACAGCTGCCACGCTCTCATCTCCCTCAGAGGTTTCAATGTCATCTCAGCTTA